TATAGCCTCCATAACTTTACCAGTTATACAAGTTAGACTGATTGGCCTATAGTTTGACAAATTACTTCTATCCCCTAATTAGTACCTAATTATGTTTAGTTATGGTCAAATAACTGTCACATTTGTGATTAATATGTCTTTTGTGTAAATCTAGAGCTTCCAAAGCACAGAGGTTTGAATACTTATGTAAAAAACATATATTAGGTTTTTTATTTTTATCTTTTTGATGTTAGTACACAACAGAATACACATTTGAGAATATACTGTAGCAAAAGAATTCTCAACCTAAATGTTGCTTGAGAACATAGTGTACATGTATTTTATACTCTAGACAATCGTCATGACTTTCAAGGGGGTTGAATACTTTTGCAAGCCACTGTATGTGAAGCCAAATGGATGCTAGTTCATTATGTATCCAGTCAATAACACGCAGGTGAGTAGCCAATTGATATTTCCAGATATCAAGGAGGCCGAGACCCTCCCTCAAATGGTGAGAGACACAAGGTAGCCATTTAAAGACGTGGTTTCTTCTTAGCCTATATAAACTAACTAAGCAAACTATGTAGGTTCTTGATAGTTCTGTGTGAGAATATAACAGGGACCATCTGAATTGGATAAAGTGACATATGAAGAATGTTCATTTTTAACAGAGCCAAACAACCCAACCAAGAGATAGGAAGAACATTCCATCTAACTAAGTCCAGCCAAATACGTTCAAATAGGGGAGTGAAATTTGTTGTATACATTTGGTCAAAAATGGGTGTTATAAGTATTACCAAATATACCATGCCATCTGGGGACTATTTGAAGGGGATGGAAGGAGAGGTCTGAGGTTCTTGTTTCAAACTGCCCAGAAGCATCACTTCCGACTTTATTCCCAAACTTTATTCAATAACTCGAGAAGGCACCAAACTTGGTCGCAGTAAGAATAGAGATGGATAGTTCAGGCTTAGTCAAGAAAATCAGAATATCATCTGCATAGAGGCTAATCTTATGCTGTCTATCTGCAACAGTTAAGCCATGTATGTCAGGGTTTGCTTTCACTACTTCAGCAAATGTCTCTATGGCTAAGGCGAAAAGTAAAAGTGAGAGAGGGAAAACTTGTCTCACACCTCTCTGAATGTGGAAATTGGGGAACCGCAAACCAAGAGTAAACCCAGATGACAGAGGGTCATTATAATCTTACATTTATTTGATGAATGTTTCACCTAAACCAAATTTATATAGTGCATGAAAATGTATGACCATTCAAAATGGTCAAATGCTTTCTCAGCATCTAATGACAAAACCATCCTCTCTATTGACTGCTGTTGAAAAATCTGTATTGTGTTCAGTAATCTATGCATGTTATTAGAAGAATGACGACCTTGTCACGGCGAGGCACACATGGGGAAAACACAAACTAAACGGACTAAGAGGTGCCTTCCCAGATTGCAATCTTTTAATAGCCATAAATACCTCTTTTCTAGATATGGGGGCATTAAGAGCAGATTTCTGATTCTCTGGCTTGACTGGGAGATTAAGAGAGGAGAAAAAAGTGTCCATTAGTTCTGGAGAATCCGAATGCATCTATCTATGGTGATTTATATAAATTTTTATTGAAGCACTTAAAGGCGTCATTAATGGTAGTCTTGTTATAAAATCGGGTTTTGCATCTGTAATTAAAGAAATAGTTTGTGAAGCTTCTTTTTTCTTATAATAAGTTAAACAATTCCCTGCTTTGTTGCCGTATTCATCAAGGTTTTCTTTAGCTCATCTGATTTTCCGCTCTGCATGTTTTGTTAAGAGGGAGTCCAAAGCAGAATGGATTGCAGTAATTTCCTTAAGTTTCCTTGAAGATGGGTTTGTCGTATAACCTCTTTCAGCCTGTTTGTTTGCTTCCTAAGATCCCCCATTTTCATTTTGCCTGCGCCTCCTACTAGACATATAAGATATGATGAGACCTCTCGAGAAGGTTTTTGCAGTTTCCCATAATAGTGATGGGTCATCTGTAGGGGTCGAGGTAATAGATAAAAAAGATTGAAAGTCTTCTGTAAAATAGGATACAATTGTAGAGCTCTGTAAGAGAATGCTCTGCAGCCAGCCGTAGGTCTTTCTACATTTGGTAATAATAGATAGCCTGCTCCTTGCAATCGAAACAGGCGAGGAGGGTTGTAAGAGATCAGTGGATCTCTAAGATTTTCAAGGCCATTCAGTACTTTATAAGTTAACAGCAGTATTTTGGTGTCAAACCAGGACAACTGGAAGCCAGTAAAGGAAGCATAGAACTGGGCTAATATGATAAAAAAAAATAGTTTTTGTGAGAACTCTGGCTACTGCATTTTGTATCAGCTGAAATGTATTTAAGGATCTAGATGGATAACTAGAAAGGGGGTGGTACAGAAATCCAGTCTGGAAAATATAAAGCCTTGTATTAGTCAGTGAAAGCATTTTCCAAAGATTGACTATTTTCCATAGATGGTAGAATACAATGCTAGTAATACTTCTTATGTGAGCACTGAAACATAGATCTGAAGTTGATTGACAGTATGTAGACAATTGTAGAGGTCTTGAAAAACAATTGCTGTCATGAAACACCAAAGCAGTTTTTTCCTCTCCAACAGTTAAATTGTATAAATGTATAAATTCACACTTTTAAACATAATGACAGCAGTTCTCATGGTACTCAAAACTGCGTTAAACATTTTAAAGAATGGCAGTCCTCTCAGTACTACAGAATAACACATGGATACCCCACTGTAGAAATGCATCTGGCCATTATGAATGGTGTGAATGCTTTGAGTGTTAATTATGAAATCACAGACACAGTAAAATCTTCAGTACAAGACACTCTTAATGAGTCATGGTTTTATTAGGCGATGAAGAGGAGGAAGTATTACAGTTAACAGTATAAGGGTATGCTTTTATTATTAAGTATTAATGTCGCACAGGCTGAAAGTTAAGATATAATTGCCCCAGAATTTCACAAGACTTTTATTTGTTACATCACTTTGGCATTTGACCTCCAGCACATAGCTGCTCACTGGTGTTTTTTCTAATGCCTAAAATGGTAAATGTTTACAATTTGAGGCAGGGATGCAACAGAGAAGGAGCTAAAGAGAGGAGAAGGGAGAGTAGGAGGAAGTTTGAGGCTCTGGTCATGGAGGAGGAGCTAAGACCAATTTCAGGACATGTGCTGTTACTATCATCTTTGCCACTGGAGGTGAAAGTGACAAAGCCTGTGTTGTTAGGGGTGATGGTGGAGATGATCCAGTTCTGATAATTTGACACCCTGGTGTAAACTCCAGGGAAGTCTGGTTCTGCACATCCGATACCAAAGCTGACAACCCCGGCCAGGACCCAGGCAGAGCCCAGCTGGGTCACCAGTGGACCCCCAGAGTCTCCCTGCAAATACATTCATATCGTAAGTACCAAAATCACCAACCATGAAATTCTTTCATATACCAACACTGAAGCCTGTAAGCACAGGGACAGCTCTCAGTTACATGCCCTGAAAATGACTGTGAAGCTGCTGTACCTGACATGAGTCCTTCCCTCCTTGTAGGAGACCAGCACATAACATGTTGTTCGTGATGTTGATGTTTGCTGTGCCGTAAAGGCAGCTACAGATCCTGTTTCCGACTATAGGAATCTGCACTTCCTGTAGAATCCCAGGTGATGGAAGGGAGACTGGTGTGAAAAAACATTTAGTTATGATGATAAGTGGGCTGACTGTGTTTTACAAAAGCTGACAGACCTGCATTGTGAAGTTTTGAAGGTAAACCTGCTTGAGCAGAGAACATTAAGAGCATTTCTTATAGGTAATGACAAAGATTCACTTTCAGCAATGGAAGGGCTATGGATTGGGCATGGGGTTTGGCGTATTTTCACACTGACCTTGAGAGCTGATGTCGCCCCAGCCAGTGACCCAGATCTCAGTGCCGTTGTAGATGGTGCTGTTACTGGCTGCCAGGCAGACGGGCTGGACGTAGTCGGTGAAGGTCACAGTGGCACTGAGCTGCATTAGAGCGATGTCATTATCGTGTGTCTGACTGTCGTAAAGCGGATGAACGATGACGCGGCTCACGACGCTGCCCTGTCCATTTGGGTTACTTCCCTCCTGGGTCTGCAGACCCACAAACACTTCCCAGTCATGAGGAGATTCACTGCGGTGGACAGAAAATTTTTAAAGACGCTTTTTATGTGAAGCTGAAGAGGATTATTGAGGAATGAATACACCATCGTCATCTTTCACCACAGTGATTCACTTTCTACCCTCATACCTCCAGGGCTAGATGACTCCAATCCCAGCCCCAGTTCTGTGTGTGCATGTGCGCGTGTGCGTGTGTGTGTGTGTGTGTGTGTGTGTATTTTGCACATCCTACATATGATTAAATGGGGTTTCTCATGACCATACAGTGCCCTCCACAATTATGGGCACCCCTTGTAATGATTTGTTAAAAGGGTTAGAAAAAATCCAGCTTTTGGTGAAGTAGCTTCAACTCACACTGAAAAAGTGAGAAAAATCCAACCTTACATTTAAATAAATGTATTCAAAGAGAAACAAAACCTTCATCTAGAAATAATTTTTTAACAAAAACACATGTGCCACAATTATTGGCACCCCTGTAAAATATACTAAACACAATGTAACTGAAGCATGTTTCCCATGCAAATTGTAGATCTTTGAGTTGATTGGGGTGTGTAGGAACCTTCAAGCTGTAATCCATGACTTCCTGATTAACTGAGGTGGAAACATGAGCAGATACAGAGGCCAAATTCCCTTAGTCATGCATCAACGAGGGAAAAATAAGAGAACGCACAAATCAAATGAGGGAGAAGTGTGACGACCTTCCTAAGTCATGGGTATAAAAAAATAATTACTCTCCTGAAAATGCCCATTTGTACTGCCCATAATAAAAAAGTTGTTGTCAACTGGAACTGTTACAAACCTGCCTGGAAGAGGACCCAAGTTTATTTTGCCCCCATACAGTGAAGGGGATCACAAGAGAGGCAAAATAATCGCCAAGGATCTTGGGGTCACCATGTCTCTGGAAAAAACATCAGACGCCACCTTCATGCTAACAGATTATTTGGAGGGTATGCCAGAAAGTAGCCTTGTCTGTCAGTTAACCACAAACGTAAGTGCCTGGAGTTCATGAAACGCTAATACAACTGGAACCCTGTTCTATGGTCTGAGAAACAAAAATGGAGCTTTTTGGCAATCAAAATTCAAGGTGGGTTTGGCGTTAAAAAAAAAAAAAAGAACGGCTATAATGAAAAGAACCAACTGTAACCAAAAGATCTCAACTGTAAAATATGGTGGAGGTTCTGTGATGTTGTGGGGCTGTTTTTCCTCCAAAGGCCCTGGAAACTTTACATGGCATTATGGACTCCATGAAATACCAGGACATTTTAAGTCAAAATTTGGCTGCCTCTGCCAGAAAACAAAAACTGGGCCATCATTGGATCTTCCAGCAGGACAGTGATCCTAAGCACATGTCCAAATCAACACAAAAATGGTTAACTGACCACAGAATCAAGCTTCTGCCATGGCCATCTCTGTCCCCCAACCTGAACTCCACTGAAAACCTGTGGGCTGAGCTGAAGATGAGAGTGTACAGGAGAGGGCCTCGGACCCTGGGTGATCTGGAGAGATTCTGTAAAGAGGAATGCTTGCATAATTCTCCAACCTTGCATAATGTTATACGAGACTCAGTGCTGTTAGACTGGCAAAGGGAGGCTGTACAAAGTATTAAATGCTGGGGTGCCAATAATTGTGGTGCAATTTTTGTTGAAAATAAGTATTTCTTTATGAAGGATTTGTTTTTCTTTGAATAAATTTGTTTCAATGAAAGGTTGGATTTTTGTTATTTTTTTCAGTGTGAGATGAAGGTACTTCACTAACAGGTGGATTTTTTCTGACCCTTTTTACAAATCTTTACAAGGGGTGCCTATAATTGTGGAGGGCATTGTATATTCCTCACAGAGTCTGAAAACATTATGTTACATGAATCAGTGTCTCTGAATTGCCCATAGTTAGTAATGCAGTTTCCTGCAATGGACGGGCATCCCATCCAATGTGTACCCTGGCTTGTGTCCTGTGTTCAGCTCCACTCTGAGACTGACCCGGATAAGCAGCTACAGAAGACAGATGTACATCATGTTTTTTTACTCACCTTCCGATGCAGTGGGCAGCAGTGACCACCCATATACTGTTGATGAGGGATCCTCCGCAGATGTGAGAGCCATTCTGTTTCAGACTGGCCTGCCAGGGCCAACTGCCCGGGGGTGCGTCCTCACCCCCCACTATCTTGGTGTTAAGTGGAGCCTGACCACACACTGGGAGGGGGGAGAGGTGAGCAGGTAAAGAGCTGAACATGAACAAACTGGCGAATTTTTGCTTATTTTAGAGGTTTTTTGACAGTCCAGTGGTGTTACATAGGTACTGAGTCCATGTATTGGAGGGATACAAGAGGCAGGTAGCTTAGCAATAACTTTATTTAGATTATATAACTGAACTGATTGATTCGCAACTGTATTGATGCAGTGCACTATATTGGTACAGGACTTTTGCTGAAGTACTTTATAAGTTTAGGCTTTATGAGTTTATGGCCAATACTCTGCAATATACCATTTAAAGACATTTAACATAGGGTGACCAGATAATCCATGTCAGGGAGGACATTCTGAGCTAGGACAGGAATTGTAAATTACCATTTCAATTAAACTGACCTGGATTTCACTTGAGCACCGAGTTCTTGCTGTGTGCTGATTGGTCAGTCTCCTATGATCATGCATGTGTCACTAATGCTAATGTGAAACAGCTGGATGAGTCTTTCAGTCAAGGAAACAAACCAGTCAAAGCACAAGAAGAGCTGAACTATTTAGCCGAGCACAGGAGCCTTTCAATTTGAAAGTAGTTTGTAAAACCCGAAGTAGCTCAAAGTGTCCTCCCTGACATGGATTATCTGGTCACCCTAATTTAACACATTATTTATTAATAAAAGTAAGTGCAAATGCATTGGCACACAAAGCAGTGGATAACTAAGAAGGAAAGACTGAAACGCAATAAACTTACCATTCTGTGCGAGCGATTCTGCAAAACAAACGGAAAAACTTTTTTATACTAATAAGCAAAGTCAAGGTCAAAGGTCAAAGTTTACTTCTATAGCATATTTAAAAGAACCAAAGTTAACCAAAGTGCTGAACAGGCACAAATTAACAGTAAATAATACAGAAACTAATAAAATGTTTTCAGACATATCAAGGATAAAAATAGAATAAACTATGAATGAATAGCTAAATAACTAAACACCTAGTCAAATAAATAAACAAATAAAAAGGCACACAGACAAATAAATAAATGCACAAATAGACAGACAGACAAAGAAATAAAATGAAATTTTGAGTTAGGAAAGTCAAAGATATCATGGTCCACTTTTATCAAACGCTATTTGAAATAGATGAAACTTTAATGCGGACTTTGATATTTCTACAGACAGGGCAGTTTTTAAAACTATTGCAAACGGTAATAATCTGTATGTCAATGTCGCCTGTCACCTAGTTTCAGGTGATGAGTTCAACCAGGAAATGATATGTGTCCTTTGTGCTGTGTAGTGAGTATGTAAGCTGTCTATGCACTGCACACATAATGAGATTGATGACAGGTCATGCCACCTGTACAAGATACAAGATACAAGATATCTTTATTGTCACTGTACAAGTACAATGAGATGTTTTGATCATCCTGTAGAAGCCTCAATAAAAACTACACAAGGCAGAGAGAGAGAGAGAGAGAGAGAGAGGTAAGGAGCGTGCACTGATACAGTGCATGTGTGAGGTAATTTTCCAGTGGCTGGAATGCCAATCCAACTATACAAGCTAAAAGAAAATTTAACGAAAAAAAGAAATAGTATATAGCAATGTACAATTACAAATACACAGTATAAAAGTATAAGAAGAATATTGCACATGAGTTATTGTACTGCAAGATAATGATCATAATCAATAGTATTGCACGGTATAATGGATTTCATAGAACATAATAGTGGTGATGAGATTAATGTGATAGCAGCTTCATCGTACAGTCAACATAGGTAGTTGAATGATGGCTAGGAGCCAGGACAGTTATAGTACATATTCTGGGTGTGTAGTGCCTGATGTCTGTGGTGTGGAAAGTCTCAGTTCAGTTTCGTGTGGTGCTGTTGTGAATGAGGGGATGAGCCCAGTATGTTTAGCAGTGTGACAGCCTGGGGTAGAAACTGTTCTGCAGTCTAGCTATGTGAATGTACAGGGATCTGTAATGTTTGCCAGTCGGCATAAGTGTGAAAAGTTTGTGCCCAGGGTGGGCTGGATCACTGCAGATGTTCCTGGCTTTGCAGTTACAGTTTGCAGTTACAGCAGTTACTGTTGCGAGGCAGTGATCCTTTGAGCTGTTTTGATGATGCTCTGGATGGCCTTCTTGTTCTCGGAGGTACTGTCTGGGTACCATGCTGTAATGCAGTATGTGATGATGGACTCTATGGCACACTTGTAGAAGTTGACCACCAGCTGTTGTGGAAGTTGTGCTTTCTTTATGCTTCTCAGTAAGTGAAGCCTCTGAAGTTCTTTTGTATTTGTTGACCAGGACAGGTCACGGCTGATTTACACACCAAGAAATCTAAAGTTCTGGACAGACTCCACCTTCTAGCTGCTGGTGTTGATAGGTTGATGGTCCTTATCTGTCAATCTCCTGAAGTCCAGGATCAGCTCCTTGGTTTTCTTCAGGTTGAGGGAAAGTTTGTTGTCCCAGCTCCTGCTCTCCAGGTTCTCAACCTCCTCTCTATAGGCTGACTAGTTTGACATCAGGCCTCACAGTGGTGTCATCTGCAAACTTGATTACGATGTTGGAATCATGAATGGGTTTGCAGTTGTGTGTGAAGAGGGAGTATAACAGAGGACTTGGCACACAGCCCTGTGGTGCTCCAGTGTGTAGTGTCAATGCAGTGGAGGAGTGCTTGCCCATGTGTACAGTCTGTGTTTTGCTGGTGAAAACGTCCAGAATTCAATTAGTCAGGTATGTGTTGAGGTTCAGGTTGATGCTAAGTTTTGTAGCCAGCTTGTTTGGGGTGTTGGTGTTGAAGGCGTAGCTGTAGTCAATGAACAGCATCTATACATAACTGTCTTTCTGTTCCAGATACAATAGGCCAGTGTGAAGGGCCAGTGAGGCAGCGTCCTCAGCTGACCTGTTTGCCCTGTAAACAAACTGGTGTTGGTCCCCGGAAGGTGGAATGTTTTTTTTTTATGTGAGTTAGGACCAATCTTTCAAAGCACTTCATGATCATGGGGATCAGGGCCACTGGACGATAGTCGTTCAGGGACCTGACCGCTGCTGGTTTTGGAACAGGGATGATGGTAGCAGTCTTGAGGCAGATGGGAACGATGGCCTGTTCTCAGATGTTGAACAGGCTGGTGAACACTGGTGCTGCCAACTGTCCCACGCAGTGCTTCAGGACCCACCCTGGAACCCCTTCCGGGCCAGCAGCTTTGTTGGGGTTGATGTGGCTTAGGGTCCTTCTCACCTTGTGTGGTGCCAATGTTAGAGAAGATGATGGGCAGTGGTAGCTTGTCAGGGAGAGATGGGTGAACTCCGTTTGTTAGGCTGCAGCTGCTGTTGCCTTTGTAGTCTGTGATGGACTTTATGCCTTGCCACATACAACGGAAGTCTGACCTGTTGAAGTGCTGCTCTATTCACATTTTGTAGTGGCGCTCTGCCTCTCTGATGCAGTGGTGAAGCCAGAAAATTATCAGTGGGGTGGCCAGGGTGGGACCAGAGGCATCTAAATATGAATATAAGGCATCTTGAAAATAAGGGAATATTTAGGTTAGATGCTTCCCAGGTTAGATGCCTCCCATGTGTCTTGCAGCTGCAGAGAAAAGTTCTGCCTCTAAAGAAATGAAATTCTGGGCAAGGAAAAAATACCAGAATAATGTAGATATTCTGGGGGTGGCCAAAAGGCTGACCAGGTTTCTGTCTAAGGTGGCCACAGCCACCCCTTGCCCCCCCTTGCCCCTTGGTCCTAGTAGTGATAACATTCTCCATACAGAAGATGATGTAGGCTAACACAGAGAAGGCATAGGCATTTAAGTCTATGTGGCTGTCCAGAGTGGCTTCTTCCATAAACAGGTCCCAGTTTCTGCTGTTAAACCACTCTTGTAGTTCGGCTATGACTGTCTCAGACCAGACATTTATGGTCTGTACTGTGGGCTTTGTCCTGGCAATGCAGGGTTTGTATGCAGGAGTCAGGAACAGTGCAATGTGATCCAACTGGTCGAGATGGGCGGAGAGCGACGCTATGTAAGCGTTTGCTACGTTACAGTAAGCATACTTCCATGCATTATTTCCGCTGGTTGCAAAATCAACAAAGTTGTAAAATTTGGGAAGCACAGACGTAAGGTTGCTATGATAAACAGTTTTGCAGTTCAATGGGTTCAATTTTCTGAAATCAGTGATTCTTACACATTAACCTTTACACATTAACCTTTACACATATGCTTAACCCCTGTTGTCATGTCCTGTCCGCCATGTCTGCCTGACCCTCCTGTCTCCTCCCTCACATGGACCTGATAGGCCATATCTGATGCTGTTTGTCTCGTCCTCCATCCTTGCTAGTCCGTGCCCATTCTAGCACTGTCATTTAGCCCCTCGCGGATTTGATAATCACCATTTCCTGTTTGTTTACATTAATGTATCATTCTGCTGCCCTCTGGAAGGCCTTACGGATCTATTGAGATGCGCACTGCTAAAAAGCTTCTACCCGAGCACAATCAAAGAACCTCCCCCGCCTCCCAGGGCATCAATGGAACAAAAATGCAATATCCTGGGGACTCATTATTGTAAATAGCACCATTCTGAAACTATTTATATACTCCCACCTTGTATAGGCATGCCCAAAGAAACACTCAAAGTTTATTGGCCCGTATTGCTAGTGTTCTTATTTTGAATGTGTGTAGCTTAATGTGCAGAGTTATGCTAGTGTTGTGTTGAATCTGTTTCAGAGGACACACCTAATTTCGTTGTGCATTCGTGCAATGACAATAAAATGTATTCTATTCTATTCAACATAAAACCCCGTTTCATTCGCCAAACGCCTGCCCTCGAGTTCTTCGTCCCGCTCATTATAACGAGACACGAATTCTTACCTCGATATAACAAAATACGAGATTATCTCGTTATAACGAGATATTAAAGTATCCGGTTATAACGTCATATGGAATAATCTAATCAAAACAATAAAATCTTGCGGTAATGTAATACTAATTTATCTGGTTAAAATAAGAATCTGAACGATTTAGTTAACACGCGTTTCTCCTTATAACGTAATGAGTTATGTTATGTTAGCCTATGTTTTATGTTGATTCGTTTACATAACTTGATCACGTTTTACTTTGTGCTGGGGACGAGATACTGCGAGTTTTAGGTTAGTAAATTTATTTGTTGAAATCTTTGTAATGAAGCATATTGTGTCTCCCATTCCATCTTGAATAATATTCTTCTATATCCGACAAGTACCCAAAGTTTCATCCAAATCTACGGTAGAATTTAGGAATTATGCTGAGGGATCGCTTTATCCCCACTGATGTCATTGTGCTCGAAGTCCATTCTCCACTCCGCCCCCCTCCACACAACTTGGTACCTCGTCTGAACACTGTGTTGGTTTGCACTATCTGCTCATTCATTCGCACGAGCTGTTCATGTTATACATTGTAAATCTCCTGTTTGCATCAATGCATCTTTTCATATTTCCTAGCACGATCTCATTCTCATTGTACTTCCTCTCCGCACCTAAGCCACGGACCACCTCGTAGGCCTATACTTGCTTATTTTCATATCTGTCATTTATTATAATTTATTGTATGTTTTAATTACACCTGGTTAGATGTTAACTGCATTTCAGTATGTACTCGGCAAATTTATATATAAGCCAGTATCACTATAAGTCGCCGTAAAACGTTTTTCTCGTTATATGTTAATTTCGACATATTAACTTAATTATGTCGAAATAATGACAAACATTTCGTTTTATCTTGGTGGCAGCAATTCGCTGCCGTATCTTTCATGTAAATGTGAACCTCTTGTATTTGGTATCTGATGTAAAATTATTTAAAATATGAAGGAATTAAGCGCGATAAAATTCTTTCCGATTCATAACACTCGACTTCGACAAGAACATTTGCTATGTTGGTAACACTGCTTGACGGGGTACGGCTTACAAATACTTAGTAATAACTCATGCATTTACTACTGAACAGAGCTGGAAATTTCAGGCCCAGAAAGTAAAAATCCAGTCCAAGATTTTGCTTCAACCAAGCAGCTGAGAACTCTGTGTCTGTGACTCTTTATGCTCAAATGGTTGGTTGAAACAAAATCTTACTTTACTTTCTGGACCTGAAATTTCCACCTCTGCTACTGAAGTACAAATCATGAACAAAAATAGTAACTGCTTGGGATTAAAGATGCATCATAATTCATTGATTACTTAAACGCACGTGATTACTATGAGTACTGAAGCGCTGAGTTCGGTTTAAATAGCCTAATGTCTACTGCGCAGATCCGCATTTATAGGGTGATCCAGGGGCGTCACTAGGTTTTAAGGACAGGGGGGGCTTAGCCCCCAAGAAATGCACACGATATGAACAAACGTAGCGCATGAGCACAAAATTTCACAAGCAGAAAACAAAGACTGAGAAATTGCTTTTCAACTTTTTTGGACAGATTAAACATCAAACGCCACCAATAGATTTGTTGTTTTATTTATGCTTTTTAATACAGTACAACAAGAAAACACAGGAAATGTGTTTGCTGCATTAACAACAAGAAAAAAACTGAAAATAAAGTACATAATTTTTATGGCTGCAATCACCAGTTACTTGGTGGGTGGAAGCATCAAAGAATGCCGTCTGTTTTTAAGAGTGGCAAATCGGTCAATCACTCTGTTGTGACTCAGATGCTGAAGCGTGTCTCGCAGAGTTATTTAAACGGTCCTGCGAAATTTCTGTTCGGTCCCGCCGACCCCAGGGGGTTAATTACATGGGACACTCTGCTGTTAGCTGGAGCTACAGTAACTAATTGTTATTACCAGCAGTGATGAAGACTTACTTTCTTGAAAAACTTGCGTATAGGCATGTTGTCTATGTGTGCAGCATGTACACTAGTGTGTCCGCAGGTGTAGATGCAGCGGAGTGTAAAGTAGCAGTGAAAACGTGTACTGGATTTTCAGTAATGTGGGCGTTCCCTATGAACAACTGGAACGGATTGGATAACGAAGCACTGACGCTACCTTAACACTGTTACAGATTTAGAATTAAGAATTTAGAATTAAGTGATCAGTGGTTATTGTCAACACACCACAGTACACAACAATGAAATGTGACCTCTGCATTTGACCCATATGTGACTTTCGTGACATAGCAGGGGGCAGCTAATTCAGCGCCCGGGGCGCAGTGCTTGGGGATGGTACCTTGCTCAGGGTACCTCAGTGGTGAGTTGCTGGTGGGGGATTTGAACCTGCAATCTTTCAATTACAAGTGCGTTACCCTAACCATCAAGCCACCACTGCCCACTATTTATGATCATATTCAAGTGAATAGTGACAGGTTTATATTATTATTTATTTAAACTCATATTCCTGCGTCGTTATATTGAATTTGTCTGCAATTTTTGTAAAAAAAATAAATAAAAAATAGGGTAAGTAAAAAAAAAAAAAAAACTTGAAAAAACACCAAATTATTTAGGGGGGGCTTAAGAATATTTTAGGGAGGCTTCAGCCACCCTAAAATAGGCCTAACGACGCCACTGTGGTGATCTGTTGATGCATTTCAAGGTCTTACTGGAATATGTAAATAAAAAGGCCTACTAATAAAAACGAAGCGCGATTACCGCTGATATATATTTAACAAGAATATAGCGCACACAGAATTTTCAATTTTTTCAAGTTTTGTCTTTGTATGTCTATAGATATGTGCAGTTACGTTTACTGCATTTGAAGTTTTTTTTGTTCTAAGTAGCCTACAGTTCAACTTAAATATTTATTTAAAAATTTGAATTGTTTTAACATTTTTACTCTTTTATCGCTTTTCATCGGCTAACTGATGTTTATCGGATGTTTAATTGACTGCATTTAAATCCCAGCGAGCCTTTTCTTATTTTAAAGTATCATAACCATTGTGTCATATTATTTGGAAAGCACGTCTGTCTGAACATCTAATACACCAGAAAAAGTCAAGATTCATTCTACACTAGAATGGCAGAAAACTGAATATTAATAATTTGCTTGTTTGGTGCAATGGGTGCTATCGCTTTAAAGACAAAAAAAATTGTTTACATCTCGACGAGGATAATTAATATAAATACAATTGGGTATGACAGGCCTATTTAATGACTGTTCATACGCTATTAGCTGTGTACCGCTGTAGGCATATAGTAAGTGAAAGGTTAGGATGCACGGTTCATGAGTACCTGCAGCCAGGAGAATTACCGCCGCTGCGGCGTAGGCGCTCTTCCACACAGTCATTTTATTCCGCTTCCCGGTATCTTCAATCAAAATTTTAAAATACTTTCTCCTTGTCTGCTGATTTTTATCAGCTCGTTTTTTTTATTTATATATTTACTAGTTTATTTTAAGTAAGCTATAGTATCCTATCTAAAAATCAAATATATGTGCGTAGTTTGACACAGAAGAGCGTCAGCTTCTCGGTAAAAGAGAGCTTGCAGCTAGGCCTATATATCTAAGTACTGTGAGAGAAACCAGCCCCATTTTGCCACGCCGTTAGTCTGCGGTCCACGCCTTTCCCGGGGGCCTCACCCAAGGTCAGGTTCATTTCTCGGATCATTATTTGATCGGCTCAATACTGAAATAAGGGGATGGGGGTAGGCGGCTAATCCAGCTGGTCTTGTTTGGGTATTAATACACATATTAACTTGAACGGGAGAGAACTTTGGTTGGGGGAACCTGATTAAAATGATACGTGTGCGGAAAGACAGGGGTAACTGATCATTTATCTTTATATGAATAAATGTAGCCTGCGCACTCTCACAAACGTGTTTCCAGCAGGTGTAACGAGTAAATCGCGAGCAATTGGTGTTCAGCAAATATTTTGTAATAAACGTGTGCTAAACATGGGGAAGTGCTAAACATCTGTAAGTCGGTACTGTAAAGTCTCTCGTACTTTTACAAAATTAGGTGAAATACCATACGTAAGTTTTGGGCTCCTCAGGTATTGTATAGCGTTGCTGTCTTCGTTTTGCTCTGTACAGTGAATTTTTGTTTTCTAAACATTGTTATCCACATTTTTGCAAGTAAAACATCGCCGGTATTTAATGCCTGGTTGTTTTGAGTTTACTTGTTTTCAATTATGGACACTGACCCCGAGAAAACCAAAGACTTCGTTGGTTTTTACGGTAAGTCTTGTTGCCATTAATTAAAGATGTAATATTTTAAATGCCTGAACTACGGTGACTTTAATACCAGGGATTATTCACTGCTCATGCAGATATTTAAGATTTTGCCCTCAGTGTAGACTATTGGAAAAGAATTGGTTTAATCGTTTGATTTACATCTTCTTGAAATGCCAAATGCATGCAGGGACGTACGTTTCATACTAACGTTTGGGGGTCGCGAAGGATATATTGGGGTTAGTGGTGCGACGTCACGTCGGTCTGCATAGCTACAGTTATTTTTTTATTAGTAAACTGATGCTGTTACATTTACCATATGTAAAAAGTCACATTCATCCTTCCATTTTTACTCATATTCATTTTCTCCCATAAAAACATCATAAGTTTCCGGGCAAACACAACAATTAAACGTAAAATAGCAACTATGACCTTCCCCTATAGAGATCCACAGAGGTAAATACAGAGGATCGGTTGAGTACCGAGGTGAAATCGGTTCTAGGTTGGCTCTTCGACAGATATTCAGATCCACACTCCCCACACCTAGCGGCAGTGTTTCACTCACGCTAACAGGTGTTATGCCGAAAAAAGCATCCGTAGAACAGGGTTCTTCAATTCTGGACCTCGATTCCAAATCCAGTCCGTGTTTTCAGTTCTCCCAGGTAGTTGTTTAATAATTACTGATTCTGATTGGTCAGAGGCTTCACGCCTGACTGACAGGTAAAGGAAGGCTGGAAAACCAGCAGTGCTCGGACCTCGAGGACCGTGAGTTGAATAACCCTGCCGTAGAATGATGTCTTTGGAGCACGCACCACTGAAAACAGCGAAAGGAAAGCTCTTTTTTGTAGTGCGTGAAAACGATCGTTTCTGTTTATGTAAACTCATAAAACGTATGCAACATATCATACGACACTATATATTTTGTTGAAATACAGATATACAACATATAAACAAATATATATGTGGATCTGAAAACTGCTACTTAATACTTCGGCTATCTCACGCATGTTAATATTGATTCAAAACTTCAAAACAGACATGAACTTGGCAACATAACGCCTGTTACATTATAAGTGTGTATCAGATGCACAGTAACTGTTCTTTTCACGAAGAAAAAAAAATATTGTTCAGTCTTTTAAAGACGTCTGTGGTCTCGTTAGAATGTATGGCTAAAATAGTGTTGCACCATGTAGCTCAGATGACACTTACTGTCTACAAACTGTATTAAAAACGTGTTTGCTGCTGGGGTCAGTGCAAATGAATGTAATGAAGAAGGGGGCGTGGGGATATATTTTTCATGTACTTGATGGTGGAAGCTACAGAAATCCAAAATTAAAGGGGATGCCTTTTTCGGCAACCAGCTGCCAGAAACGGCATCCCCTGTTAAATCTGCCTGTATTGTAGCTACACCCGTGAAACTTGCACAGGTTAATTAAATGGTAAATGGACTGCATTTATATAGCGCTTTTCTACTCCTACGAGTACTCAAAGCGCTTTACAATTCATGCCTCACATTCACCCAGTGGCGTCGTTAGACCTATTTTAGGGTGGCTGAAGCCTCCCTAAAATATTCTTAAGCCCCCCTAAATAATTTGGTGTTTTTTTCAAGTTTTTCTTTTTTACTTATCCTTTTTTTTTTTTTTTAACAAAAATTGCAGACAAATGCAATATAACGACGCAGGAATATGAGTTTAAATAAATAATAATATAAACCTGTCACTATTCACTTGAATATGATCATTAATCTGTTGGTTCCTTTCACTTTACAGTGTTAAGGTAGCCTCAGTGCTTCGTTATCCAATCCGTTCCAGTTGTTCAGTTGTCATTATGGAAAATCCAGTCCACGTTTTCACTGCTACTTTACACTCCGCTGCATCTACACCTGCGGACACACTAGTGTACATGCTGCACACATAGACAACATGCCTATACGCAAGTTTTTCAAGAAAGTAAGTCTTCATCACTGCTGGCAATAACAATTAGTTGGCTGCAGCTAACAGCAGAGAGTCCCATGTAATTAACCCCCTGGGGTCGGCGGGACCTAACATAAATTTCGCCGGACCGTTTAAATAACTCTGCGAGACACGCTTCAGCATCTGAGTCACAACAGAGTGATTGACCGATTTGCCACTCTTAAAAACAGACGGCATTCTTTGATGCTTCCACCCACCAAGTAACTGGTGATTGCAGCCATAAAAATTATAAACAATTATAAAACAATAAATCTATTGGTGGCCTAAGATGTTTAATCTGTCCAAAAAAGTTGAAAAGCAATTTCTCAGTCTTTGTTTTCTGTTTGTGAAATGTTGTACTCATGCGCTACGTTTGTTCATATCGTGTGTATTTCTTGGGGGCTAAGCCCCCCCCCCTCCCGCCCCCGTCCTTAAAACCTAGTGACGCCCCTGACATTTAACAATGCACGACAAACAGTACCATGACAGACGAACACAACGAGCATGTCACTCAATGAGAATGAATGATGCAACCGACTGGCTGCTTCTAGCGCCGAGGTGGTTAAAATGGTACGGTCCACACTAGGGGTGTCTGCCTTCATATCAAGGTGAGGTTAATTTTTCGGCATTACACCTGCATAAAGCAGTAGAAAGAGGCCCGCGTGGCTTAACAGGTGTTCCGGGCAATTCAGTTTCCCCATGTTTCCCCTTAAAATGCACGTTCACGAGCTAATTTGAAATCATCACGCCAGATGGCAGTGTTTCGAGAATTTCAATCCGGATTTGAAGCCTTTTTATATACATAAATATTCCGTTCATAATACACGTTTTAAACGTCAGGTAACCACGATTCTATTTCTTTCCTGCTCATATATGTCCTTGTGTATTATACCAGATTTATATGTGGAAAAAAGACATGGGCAAAATAGCTTCCCCAGCTATAACATATAAACAGTAATTCACAGGCACAACATTAAGCACACTGTTTTACCATGTACAATAATTTATTCTTGAACATATTTTTTAAAACTTTGAAATTTGAACCTAAGAATCATTTTCATCCTAATAACACATCTTGAATGTCTCAGACATTTTTATTCACACAGCATAAAAAAAATCCAGGTCTGTTGACTGAAAATAAAGAAAAATCTTGAATGTGTAGACCTATATTTCCATACAACACAAACACACTAATCCAGCTCCGTTGAATTAAAATAAATAAAAATAAATATATCTTCAGTTTTGCAGTACTTTTATTGTACATAACACCCACACACACAAGTAATGGCCGGCTGAATTAAAATAAATAAAAACCACAACGCAAAGCAACATTCAGGTCTCACAATGCAACATTCAGGTCTTTAATTAAAATAAATAAATTTTCAAAATAGTACCCTGAATTGTTCTGGCCTTTTTATTAACACCACACACAAAAAAAGTCCAGGTCTGTCGGCACAAGACAGATGGAACCACCTGTCACATCCAATACAGGGAATCTGGGTGAAAGTAGAAATTATTGACATAGTAAAAATAATAATAAAAACATCCTAGCTCATATAATTTGAACTTTTTTGGGTCAACCTCAGTGACATCCTAATAGAAGCAGAACTATGCTGAAAATACTTATTTGACAGTAACCATTGTTATGGTTATACTAATGTCTTTCATGTAAGTACCTAATTAGCAGTAGTTCCATAGCACATATAAATAAATTAAAACTGAACATTTTAAGTGTGAAGAAAAATGTCCTATTCTTAGATAAGCTAAAAGAAAAGCTGTTAGTAATGTAGTTATCAGTCTTTGTGTCCAGTATTACTGAGTAAAATGTAAAGTGAATATATTAATTCTGCCATACCCATGAGTTGTCGCCATCTATTTCACCACAGATAGAACACACTTCACTCAAGGTTACAAGGTCACACTCTGTACAGTTTACATCAGCTTCTTATAGAATCCTAATGATTACATTCTCTATGCATTATGAAGTGCTAAATAATATTCCATAATGCTTGTGCTTGCATGCTTACTGTAGCCAAGGAAGCCCATTCCATAAACCTCCTGGCACAGATTTTGTGCTGGGGTTATTGCCAGAGGAAGTCTGTAATTCTGCAGTTACTGAGTTGAGGCTGAGTTCCTGTTGTTCTTAAACATTTCCACTTTGCAGTAATACCACTTACAATTGACCATGGAATATCTAGAATTTTCACAAACTGACATGGCAAATGGGCAGTGGGCAGTTGTATACAGTCATGTACAACTGCACGGGACATAGGCAACCCCACCCTCCACGAGTCTCCTGCTGCCTTGCAGGATAGGTTTTGACAAACCAAAGGCTAGGGTGTTAACAAGGCACCTGAATGGGCGAAGCACCTTTCTGAGGTAGGTGACCGGCAAGGGCGGAAGAGTTCCTGGTCGAACTTAACGTCTACATGTTCACGACCAGGGCGAGTCACCTAGTGGAGGAGATCGGCTGTGGTCAAAGCTTGGAGAGGAGATGGACACCACCAGGCGACAATTGCCCAAGATACACCCATGATGCACGAAATCAACTATTCCATACCGGCTCCCGCATCATTGCTTCTGCTGTCTTCTCTCTGAGCCGCCGGAGGTTGTTGCGCACTTCTTGAGCCTGGTGCGCGTTGCCGGGCAGGGACATTTCCTTCAGGAGGTCCCTGCTCCGGTAAACGAGGGCATGGGCAGCTGAATCCTCCCAGACCTCGGGCTGCCGCAGCCAGTAGAGCATCTCATCGGTGAGCTCGAGGTACTCTTCATCAGTGAGGGCGGAAGCCTTTTCCTCACCGGCTTTAGGCTTCTTCTGTGGGAGGTCTGTCATGAACGATCGCGGTGCACGGAACTGGGAAGCAGGAGAGGAAGACAAAGGATCGGGTAACACGGATTTTATCGGGAGACGGCGCAGGGACATGTAACAAACCAAGGAACGCGCAACACCACACCATCAGACTACTGGACTTCAATGACAGACCTAGAGAAACAGACTCTAACATGGACTAAAATACACAGGACTCGATGGAAAAACAGGAAACAGTGGACATAACAAGTTTGATTCCACACGAGGTTAACGAGGGGGCGTGGCACACAGGAGGATCGGATAAGCAGGACATGACAATACTTCAACGTTGAAACAATAACACAATGCTATCTGGGTTACAAAGCTTTTCCGCTTGCCACTTTCTTCGTTTGTTGTGTCTTTGCTCGCAGGTCTCGAAGTGAATGTCTACCAGCCAGGGGCACGTTTTCCTGCTTTTGGGAAAGGCACCCTGAGGAGGGAGTTTAGAGTAAGCCATTTTAATGGAGGTAGGGGTTCTGTAGGTAAAAACTGTCTGAGGAAAAAATATATGTATATATAAAATTTGTGTGCGTGTATGTGTGTGTTTGTGATGAGGTATAGTCATTGTATGTGTTTTTTTAATACAGTGCTAAATGGTAAAATACATGGTGTTACATAACATCTTTTTAATTTACTGCAACAACATTGATTGAACCTTTTTATTGCAATAATTTTATGATATTCACGGTATGTATTGTTTTTTTATGCAGACACTGAAATAAAGCATGGGCAGAAGCATCTGCCTTTGCGTTTACACTGCCTCCCAGTGGTGAGACTCCCATAATACACCACAATTAGGCAGTTAACACCTTATTCTTGATTTTAGCAGAAGCCTGAAGGTGAGGAGGCCATCATCCACACAGCCCTAAGCAGCTGTCCTTGTGGGCCACAGGATTATGGGAATGACCTCTCAGTTTGTTTCCAGAAAATTCATTTAATTTATCTGACGTTTTTACTGAAAGCAACTTACAGTAGGGCTGTCTAGATGTTGTTGGACTGTCTTGGCTGACACACCTCTTCAACATAGCATGGAGGTTGGGGACAGTAAGTTTGGATTGGCAAGCAGTGGTGGTGGACCTGAGGATGTGCTCTAACTTCAGGGGGATCACACTCCTCTGCATGCCTCCCTGGGAAGGTCTATGCTGGGGTACTGGAGAGGAGGGTCCGCCTGTTGGTTGAGCCTCGGATCCAGAAGGAACAATGCAGATTCCGTCCTGGTTGTAGAATGCTGGACCAGCTTCTCGGGGGTCCTGTGGGGTGTGCTTCAGGAGTAAAGGGTATGGGGTCTGCTGTTGCAGGCCATCAGGTCCCTGTGTAAATGGAGCGAGAGTTTGGTTTACATTCCCAGTAGTAAGTCAGACTTGTTCCTGGTGGGTGACCTCAGGATCTCGTCTTTGCTTTTTGCAAATGATATGGTCCTGTTAGCTTAATCAGGCGGTGACCTGCAACATGCACTGGGGTAGTTTGCAGTTGAGTGTGAAGTGGCCGTGATGAGGATCAGCACCTCTAAGTCTGAGACCAAGGTTGTGAAACGGAAACGGGTGAGGGAAGAAGGGAGCGGGAGATTGATAGATGGATTGGTGCAGTGTCGACCTTAATGAGAATGCTCTACCATTCTGTTGTGGTAAAGAGAGAGCTGAGCCAAAAGGCAAAGCTATCGTTTTACCAGTCAATCTATATTCCTACCCTCACCTATGGTCACAAGCTTTGGGTAGTGACAGGGTGTTTGGGCTCAGCCCTTGAGATAGGGTGAGGAGCTCGGACATTGGTTGGGGGGGGTCTTAAAGTACAGCTGCTGCTCCTCTGCATTGAAAGGAACCTGTTGACATGGTTCGGGTATCTATCTAGGTTGCCTCCAGGATGTCTCTCTAGGGAGGTGTTTCGGGCATGTCCAACCGGGAGGAGGCCCCGGGGCAGATCCAGGACACGTTGGAGAGATTATAGCTCTCTGCTGGCCTGGAAGCACCTTGTATGTGTGGAGCTGGAAGAGGTGGCTCTGATATGCTCATACTCAAACTTCACCCCATCTGGTGTATTTCACTGCTAATGGGATCTCTAGACTCAAGATTTGCTCACTAATTCACTCGTTCTAGCAAAGTTAGAATAAAAGTGATTTGACTTGACATCTCATGTTCTTATCTGCAAGGCATTATGGGAATCGTGTCTTTGCAGTCAATCGTGTCTTGGTTACTGCACATTTACTTGAACACATGCCTCCCTGGTTGAGATGAGGGTCACCAGCACCAGCCGCTTATTACTCCACGGGCTGCGGGTGCCACCAGCTGTCCCCCCCCACGACCCCGTTCAGCTCCTGCCCCTGCTCCGTGTGCGCAGTTTGCATGGTTTCCCTATGCTATGTGGGTTTCCTCTCACAGTCAGGCTAATTGGTGGACTTGCTTGCTTTTAGTGTATATAGCATGTACCCTGTAATGGCTCAGAATCCTACACATGCTATCCCTGTGCCGCTTAATTAGTTGGACAAGGGATGCATAAATCGATACAGGCACTGATAACCCAAAGTAGAAAAGTAGTGGTCAGAATAATAAAAGCTGGAACACTGTCCACAAAAAAACTGATATGAGATTAAATACAGTTTCTTAATGCACAATGTGAGGCCAGTATCTGTCTAATGAAAGAAATGGGAGATACTTTAATAGACAAATAGCTGATTATGTTTACTTACATGTGCATTTTGCATGTTATGCGAAATACCCATGTTTTTAACGTTTTATAATAACTATAACAATGGTCGTTTCTCAAAAAACGTATGTGATGTGAAATTTTTGAAGTTATTTCTGTGCTCAGCATCACAAAATATACCTGGCACACTAAAACTTATGAAGAAAAACAAACAGTGTAATCTGTATTTCTATGTGTATTTTAAAAAGAATGAAGATGTTGCAGATTCTTCCTTTGCATCGCCCCCTAGTGGTAATACAATATCACCATATACGAGAATAAATGTATAAATAATAATATGCATCTCTTTAAATATTCAACGATAAACGTATGAAATGCATCTAATTACTTATAATGACATAGGCTATATATGTTTTAACACATTTAGGAGTAACCGATAACGTCCGGTAATGTACAATGATAGTCTTTCCCCCACGGATATCAATAACGTATCATTATCAGAAAGCCATTCGGCTAATTAATATTTTTAAATATTTCACCTTAAGCAAATTTTCCATGGCAGCAGAATAATTCCCCAGTCAAACATTTTTCATTCTAGACCTTATCAAGATGGCGAAATCTTGGGTTTTTCACCTTACAGGAAACACATCTTTTATAGCCATGGGCTTCACTTCCGGTTTCCGGCCGGCTCCCGCCCCATGTAGCCATTTTACATTTCTGAACAAAAAAACGGGTGAGACAGAACGGCACACAAGGAAATAGTGGAAATTCAGCTGCCAAAATAGTAGTAATAATGTGTCGAAATGCTGGTGTGATTATTAAAGTATGAAAAAAGCGAGCGGGTAAGGAGGAACACCAGCCGCGCCCTGCTTTAGAACAGAAAAGTAATAGTTAGCCAGCTAGCCGCGGGTAGCGATTGGAGCTGCCGGACCGAGAGAATCAATTCGGGAACAGGAAAGCGAGTAGCGGAGCGGCAGCTGACATGGCGAGGCCACACTGAGAAACGCCGTGTGCAAGCAACGAGTGGCGGCAACGTAAAGCCAGGCGGACGGGACGTGTCGTCGGGGTGTGGGAGAGCTGCCAGCCACGGTGAGTTTCCTCATTGCTCCTCGCGGGGAAAAGCGGCGCGCGCCCCGGTCGCCCGTTTGGCCGGCCTTCGCGGCCTGCGAAGCAGCTGTTAAGCGGCGAAATGATCCGCCGGTCTGCGCGCCCTCCGGCGAGTTCCGCTCTGTGCCTCATCTGCCGGCAGGTTAGCGGAGCCCGGCGCTCTTTTGAACAAACAGCGCGGCCCGGCCCGGCCGGGTTATATATAACCTGGTTAACTGTGCGCTGGATAGCTGGTTAAGCTAGATGCCTTCCGTAAGGGAGGGACCCGCACGGTTGGTAAATCATAGCCGCGTCCGTATCGGTTCCACGGTCTAGTATAACCTGTCTCATCCACCCGGTCTTCCCTTTATTCTCGCTGTCAGGGCGGTGATGTGTCAGGTCAGACCTCTGTCCGCCCTGTCAGACAGGATCGCTCCTTTCTTCTGTCTAACGCTTGTATGTCTGATCTGCTGTATTTTATCATTTTGGTATCACTGTAGCAGGGATGTTTATACTCAGATTTTAATCTTTGGTGAAATTCAGGTTTGCTTCCATCGCTGACACATTATGGGGCAGCATTTTAAGTTGCTGTTCACTGCGTTGATGCTTTCCTTGTAGCTCTTGAAGTTTGGTGGGAACGTGTCCCGATTTCCCTTGATCTCACGCTTGTCACAGCGCACCGTCAGCCTGTTTGCACCATTGCTGGTATTGCTTATCCTCTGCCGTGGGGGTCCCGTCGGCGCCCCCTCTTGGCCCGAGGGCGCGATCTGCTGTCTTTGTTTCGCTCCCGTGAAGGGACCCTTTGGTGATGGTGCTCATCACCGGGGTCACAGACGAGGCTGTGGATGGCGCCATCTCGCCTGTTTCTGATTGATATTTAGCGGAGATCCTGAAATGAGCTTTTTATTAAAAGACATCACAATAGCCCGGATTCTGGCAGGGTAAGCAAAGAGACACAGCAAAGGGAGCAGAATAAACACTAAACTTTTATAAAATCAAAAAAAAAAAAAAAAAATCAACCAGTGTGAATAGGTGTAGACATGGCAACAAATACAAAGTATTTGTGTGAGTGTGAGTGAGCAAAATGTGCAGGTGAAATAAATCTGATGTATATAAATGTATAACGTGCTTAAAGTTAAAACTGTAAGAAATACTGCAGCGATAGATGAACTCTAATGTCCGGCAGGCACAGCCTTGGGCAGCCCTGATATTAGGACCCTTAATCTAATGTTCCTTCACACACCTCGAAACAAGGAGTCCTCCTCTGCAGACACTCCTCTGTGCCAGATCTATTTCATGGAGCGCAAGTGAGGTGTCACTCACCATGGCCGAGAGCTTGGCCAGAATTCTTCCCTCTGCCACCTCCTCCGGTGGGTCAGAGATGATTTCCAGCACTGAGCTGATCTTCCCGAGGAGTTTCTTCAGTCTGCTGGTGTCTCCGAGCTTCATGCTGATGGCAGTCTGCTCCTGCCAAGTGCACTAAAGGACCTGAGCCTCCTACTGTAGCTCTGTTCTTTCTTCTCCAGAGTGTCTCACACCAGTTGTTGTCCAGGAGTCCCCCTAGGCAGATGTAGGTCGGAACCATCTCGATGTCTGCACCATGGGGACAGGAGAGTCTTTTTCCTCATCAAAGGAGTAAAAGAGAAACACTGAATTTTTATGAAATGCAAAATTTTATTTACTTGACTTAAATTAACGAAGACTGTCAGTGCTGAACTTGGAAAAAAGCTTTTAGCTGAATTTATTTTCATTCAAGTTTTTCTTCTCAATGGAAATGCTTTAGGACATTTTAAGTTTGTTTTAGTTGGAGTTTTCAGTGATGCTTCAGTGGTCCGATGTTAACATTTTTAGATTGTCATTTTGTAAAGGTTACTGCGGCAACCACAACTTCTAATCATGTTCTTTGTTTTCACTGCATCCTGGGCTCATTTTGAATTCATAACTGACTGCAGAGGAGCTGGATTCAGTGGGGGTGGGGGGACCCAGCACCCAGGGCTCATGGGAAAGGGTGGGGGGTCTTTTACTTTAAATATCACAGCTTGGGAATGTTTAGAACATGCAGTTTAGCTGCAGTTATCAGGATTGTCAAGTTTCCCATGCAGATGGAATGACAGGAATGTTACGTATGTTACTGTTTGATGTTTCTTTGCTTAAAGCTGCAGGTGGCCCAGGTCTATAAATGTGTGCGAGACAGCAGCATGACTTTTCATGAGTTTTTCTGCATGTGTTGTGTAATATTAAATGCTTTATCTTTTATTATGTTGTTCCAGTTACGTCCTTCTCAGATTCTGCGAAGGGCATTCACTGTCAGTTATTAGTGTTGAATTCTGCGGTTATTGGGACGCCTCTCTGACTATTCAGGTGTCTGTTATGTCTCTGGCTCTCACTGCAGGCATGTGTTTCTGCGTTGGTAAATGCTCCAGCTTTTAAGCACTTCTCACTGTTTCCTGAGATGGCCATCTCACATTTTATGTAATACCGGCCTGTACTGCTCAGCAGGAAGCCACTGTACTGGTCAGCGGGGAATTTTTATGAAGTGCAGTAATGACCTTAGTGAGCTTTTTTTTTTATTGTATGTAAAAGTTCCTGCAGACGCATGTATCTCCCTACTTGGTGTATACATGCCTTGACTGAATGTACCTCTGCATGGGTTTCTCCACTGGGTGGCGCACTGGGGAATCAGTGACACCTCAGCTCAATCTGGCAGGGATGAGATTCTCGGCAGTGTTGGCACTCTGAGGGTGACAGTTTACTCCATTCCTACAGGAGCCAGCCATGCCATCCAGCGCCCGCACCGGGAGCCTGAAGGACCCAGAGGTGGCTGAGCTTTTCTCCAGGGATGACCCAGAGAAGCTCTTCGTTGACCTGCGGGAGATTGGGCACGGCAGCTTTGGGGCCGTCTACTTTGTAAGGCCTCTGGGGGTCTGCGGGGAGGGGGCTCCTGCTCTTTATGTGACCCTGCATGTAGAAAAGTCAGCCTGCTGATCCGTGAATGTGGCTGCCGCTTCTTGCTTTCTCGCAGGCCCGAGACATCCGGAACAATGAGGTGGTTGCCATCAAGAAGATGTCATATAGCGGAAAGCAGTCCAACGAGGTGAGCACGCGCCCCCCAGCAGGCTGGGAGTCTCCGTGCGGCTGTTGGCACTTTTTGAACCCTTTCTGTCTCCATAGAAATGGCAGGACATCATCAAAGAGGTGAAGTTCCTACAGAAGCTGCGTCATCCCAATACCATAGAGTACAGGGGGTGCTACCTGAGGGAGCACACAGCCTGGGTGAGTCCCGCACCTCCTGCCGTGCGCATGTGTGCGTGTGTGTGGTCTAACTTGCTCTCTCCCCGCACCAGCTGGTGATGGAGTACTGCCTGGGCTCTGCGTCTGACCTCCTCGAAGGTGAGGTGCTTTCTGAGCTGCTTCTCTTGGCTGTTTGCCGCCTTTCCCTTTGGCCAATGCTGGACACGTGTTTTTCAAAATTCACACAGTTCACAAGAAGCCTCTACAGGAAGTGGAAATAGCTGCTATTACCCATGGTGCACTGCAGGGCCTGGCATATCTGCACTCGCACAACATGATTCACAGGTGAGCCATCTTTGATGGGCACCCTGCAGTTGAATGTCAAACTTTGATGAAGTAACCCTAAGCCTAACCACCCACCCCCACCCCCCAGGGATGTGAAAGCAGGCAATATCTTACTGACAGAACCTGGTCAGGTGAAGCTAGGGGATTTTGGCTCCGCCTCCATCGTTGCACCTGCCAACTCATTTGTGGGCACCCCCTACTGGTGAGTATCCCCATCCTGGCCGGTGGGCGTGGCCTCTGGCAGTTAGAGTGACATTTTGTCCGAGCTGTGTTGTGCCATATGATGTGTTTTGAACAAAATCAGGCTTATTTATGCCTTCAGCACCTGGGCAGCTTGGTGGCCTTGAGCAAGCAATTAATTTAAGGATTGATACCTTACTAATTCTTCAGGGGGCAGAGTGTCTGTCTGTGTGTCTGTTTGCGTGCGTTTGCGTCTGTATGCGCATTCTGACTTCTCCCCCTGACCCAGGATGGCTCCGGAGGTGATCCTGGCCATGGATGAAGGGCAGTACGATGGAAAGGTGGATGTCTGGTCGCTGGGAATCACCTGCATTGAGCTGGGTAAGAGGGCGTGTGGCATTGTCCCTGTCTCTCTGTCGCTGTCTCTCTGTCCCTGTCTCTGTCCCTGTCTCTCTGTCCCTGTCTCCCTGTCTCTCTGTCCCTGTCTCTCTGTCCCTGTCTCTGTCCCTGTCTCTCTGTCCCTGTCTCCCTGTCTCTCTGTCGCTGTCTCTCTGTCGCTGTCTCTCTGTCGCTGTCTCTCTGTCGCTGTCTCTCTGTCCCTGTCTCTCTGTCCCTGTCTCCCTGTCCCTGTCTCCCTGTCTCTCTGTCTCTGTCTCTCTTACTGTTACCCTGCTGTGGCACATGCTCCCTCTCTCTCTCCCTGTCTGACTACATGCTCTTTTGCCAGCGGAGAGGAAGCCCCCCCTGTTCAACATGAATGCCATGAGTGCCTTGTACCACATTGCACAGAACGAAAGCCCCGTGCTGCAGTCCAACCACTGGTGAGCATGTCGCTTCCCATCAGGTGGCGTCCCGATTCTCGGCTGCCCGTGTCTCCACTGTACATCTTCCTCTGCTGCTCAGGTCTGACTACTTCAGAAACTTTGTGGACTCCTGTCTGCAGAAGATTCCCCAAGACAGACCTACCTCTGATGTTCTGCTCAAGGTGCGTCTCTCTCTGTCTGTTTCCCTCACTGTCAGTCTGTCTCTCTCCCTCTACCTGTCTGTCTCTGTCGTTCTCCGTCTATTCGTGTCTGTGTCCCGTAGAGAATGGAAATTTTAATTTCTTTGTTTAAACTTCCAGCATCGATTCCTGTGCAGAGAGCGCCCCCTCTCAGTCGTACTGGACTTGATCGCGCGCACAAAGGACGCCGTACGTGAGCTGGACAACCTGCAGTACCGGAAGATGAAGAAGATCCTGTTCCAGGAGACGCCCAATGGGCCAGCGCCGGAGGGCGGCGAGGAGGAGGAGGTATGCAGCATGGTTGCCCTTTTCTGACCGCGTGCGGGAGCCCATGTCCACGTCTGAGTGCCCCGCCCCCTGCGCCTGTGGCCCCCAGGAGGCGGAGCCGTACCTGCTGCGGACGGGCACCATCAACAGCATGGAGAGCTCGCACTCGGTGCCGTCCATGTCCATCAGCGCCAGCTCCCAGAGCAGCTCGGTGAACAGCCTGGCGGACGGCTCCGACGACAGCGGCGAGATGGCCATGATGCAGGAGGGCGAGCACACCGTCACCTCCAACAGCTCCGTCATCCACCGGCCCACCGTGAGCCCCCCCCCCGTTACATGCTCCCCATGCCCTCCAGTGCCTACCTGCCTTGACCACCATATCCCCCTCACACCTCCGAAGGGTCACGACAACATCTACGATGACCCATATCAGCCCGAGATGGACACACAGCAGCACCAGCAGCAGGCGTCATCTGCAGCTCGCCGGCGCACCTACTACCAGAACCCAGACCACTTTGCCACCATCCGCACCGCCTCTCTGGTAGTCATGGAAACAGCCCCCCCACCCCATATGACCTTTGTCCTGTGGCATCTCTGTGACCCCCACGATAACTCTTGTGTCGTCCTCTAGGTGACACGGCAGATCCAGGAGCACGAGCAGGGCTCCGCGCTGCGGGAGCAGATGTCGGGATACAAGCGCATGCGGCGGCAGCACCAGAAGCAGCTGATGGCGCTGGAGAACAAGCTGAAGGCCGAGATGGACGAGCACCAGCTGCGGCTGGACAAGGAGCTGGAGACGCAACGGAGCAGCTTCGCCATGGAGAGCGACAAGCTGGGCAAGAGGCACCAGGCCATCCTAGAGAAAGAGGTAAGCCAGCAGTCCAGGACTCGGGGCTGGTGTCCCACCGCTGCCTGCTGATCTTCGTCTCGTATCTGCAGACAAAGGCTGCACTGGCAGAGGAGAAGAAGTTCCAGCAGCACATCCTGACGCAGCAAAAGAAGGAACTCTCCACCCTGCTGGACTCCCAGAAGCGGCAGTACAGGCAGCGCAAGGAGCAGCTGAAGGAGGTACGGAGGTGCAGGTCTGCGTACGGCTCTCAGGGGGGGGGTCTTTGATCCAATCAGACTGACCTGACCGTACGTCTCGGCCTGTGTGTGCAGGAGCTGAGTGAGAACCAGTCGACCCCGAAGCGGGAGAAGCAGGAGTGGCTGGTTCGGCAGAAGGAGAATCTGCAGCAGGTGCAGGCGGAGGAGGAGGCAGAGCTGCTGCGCAGACAGAGGCAGTACTACGAGCTGCAGTGTCGACAGTACAAGAGGAAGATGCTGCTGGCCAGGCACAACCTGGAGCAGGATCTGCTCAGAGAGGTATGTTTGGACAGTGGCCAGCAGGGGGCATGGTGGGAAAGGCTCCGTGTAAATCTGAATGCATGCACCTGTCTTCTAGGACCTGAACAAGCGTCAGACGCAAAAGGACCTGGAGTGCGCCATGCTGCTGCGGCACCACGAGTCCACGCAGGAGCTGGAGTTCCGGCAGCTGGGCCTGGTGCAGCGTACACGCGCTGAGCTGATCCGCACGCAGCACCAGACTGAGCTGACCAACCAGATGGAGTACAACAAGCGGCGCGAGCAGGAGCTGCGGCAGAAGCACGCTGTCGAGGTGCGGCAGCAGCCCAAGAGCCTCAAGGTAAGACCAAGCGTGGGTTGTATGTGGAACAGGGAATATGATATGGGTGTGGACATGGGGTTCAGTCTGTGATGTGGGTGGCAGGACAGGGGGACTGTGATGTGGGTGGCAGGACAGGGGTGAGGACCATGATGGTAAAGTGACAAATTCACTGAATCAGAATTTCTCTTCAGTCCAAAGAACTGCAGATCAAGCGGCAGTTCCAGGACACGTGTAAGATTCAGACCCGGCAGTACAAGGCGCTGAGGAACCACCTGCTGGAGAGCACGCCCAAGTCGGAGCACAAGGCCATCCTCAAGCGGCTGAAGGAGGAGCAGACGCGCAAGCTGGCCATCCTAGCTGAGCAGTACGACCACTCCATCAACGACATGCTGTCCACACAGGCTGTGAGTAAGGCAAGCGACCCCCCCCCTCCCAGCACATAGACACGAAGAGAGGCAGAGATGGCCCCACCCGCTCTGGGGGCGGCCACTAAGTTCTCAGCTGACCTGGGCTTATGGTCAGGCAGGAGCTAAGAGAAGGGCAGTCTACGGACCGCCTGAGGTAGCCGGACGGTGAGGCCATGAAGTGGGCTGCCCGCAGCATGCTAGAGGCTACCCCCACCCCACCCCCCGCCTTCAGCCTGGGCCCACTATGGCTCTGAGAACGGATGGACAGCTAACATCTCCCAGTTCATGTAGTCCAGAGAAATCCTTCCCCCGCCTCACCCCCCCTCGTGCTGATGCCGCCTGCCTCGCCCCCTCTTCTCCCCTCACAGTTGCGATTGGACGAGACACAGGAGGAGGAGTGCCAAGCACTGAGAATGCAGCTGCAGCAGGAGCTGGAGCTGCTGAATGCCTATCAGAGCAAGATCAAGATGCAGACGGACTCGCAGCACGAGCGGGAGGTCAAGGAGCTGGAGCAGCGGGTGTCCATCCGCCGGGCGCTGCTGGAGCAGAGGGTGCGTCTGCTGGGCTGCAAATTCCAGCACACAGCTTCATAATCAGTAACACTGCTCAGCACATTTTACTTTCTTTGTCACATGCATCACAATAGGTGAATCTTAGTTTCTTTGTGCTAAATTCTTATATCTTATTGGGGTCTCCTTATCAGTCAAGGATTTTAAGTGACACAATTAAACTCCACTTTACATGTATTTACAGTATATGTCCAAAGTGACTCATCCAAAAGGTAGAAGTGTGATTTTTCTGCTGCACTTGGCCTCAGAAACATCCCTCTTAAGGGTCCAGCAGAATGCAGCCAGCATACTGAGACTCCACTAGCCTTGATATCATTTTTCCATATCAGTGGGAGAGAGAGAGCAGGAATCTCTCAACATGTCCAAATGTTAGTCTGTAAACTCATACTTACAGTACTTTAACAAATAGAAATAAAATTATTTTTCATAAATTTAATTTTATTGTGCCCGTGCGTTCTTAATAGGGAATGATATACTATCAGGATAACCTAAAAATGATGGCACTCAAAAACTATAAGTGCATGTCTGAAATCAGCAGAAAAGGTACCTAAAAGGAGACCCATTGTTGTTCTGTGACAAAAATCTTTGTTCTCTCCTCCCAATCGGCCCAGATCGAGGAGGAGATGGTGTCCCTGCAGAACGAACGTTCAGAGCGGATCCGGTCGCTGCTGGAACGCCAGGCCCGTGAGATCGAGGCCTTCGACTCGGAGAGCATGAGGCTGGGCTTCAGCAACATGGCGCTGACCAGCATTCCTGCTGAAGCCTTCAGCCAGGGCTACCCCAACCCGCCCCCATCCTCCTCAGGGGGCTGGCCCTCACAGCCCGTGCCCCGCTCCAGAAGCCACTGGACCCATGGCGTGCACCCCCACAACTCGGGGGCACCGCCTTCTTGGCGGAGTCAGAACAGCTGCATCGAGGCAGGTGGGGTGGTGGCGTTGTCGACGCCCTCGCACGGGCAGGTGGGCCGTGATGGGGCTCTCTACTCAATGTCCTCTTCGGCATCACACCGACACCACCATCACCTGCCACAGCACCACCATCACCAGAGCACCCCACACCTGTACCGGGAGCGGGAGTGGGTGGCTGGGAGTGGCCACCTGTCCCATGGCCACTCCCACTCTCGACACCTGTCCTCCCACTCTTCCTCCCAGTCCCTGGCGCTTCTGCCCCCGCCCCCACCTCCACCCCCCATATCTCTGTCCTCCTCCTCCCCCCCATCTTCCTCCTCCTCCTCCTCTTCCCAGGGGGGAGGTTATGGTGGCAGTGGAGGAGGGGGGCTGGTTGTGAGGGGGCCCAGTTTGATGGCCCTGAGGAACAGCCCCCAGCCTCTACGGAGGACGGCCTCTGGAAGCGGAGCTGCTGGGGCAGCGGCTGGTGAGGGCGGGCTGAGTCGGAGCACCTCGGTCACTTCCCATATATCCAATGGCTCCCACCTCTCCTACTCATAGAGGGGGTGCGGGGTATGGGGTGGGGGTCGCTGGGCTAGGCATGGGGCAGCAGGATGACCTTAGGCCAACACTATACCGGAATCTGACATGGGCTCTGAGTGAAGAGCAGGGGACATACTTTAGTTACAATGTTGTTTACAGAGAGGACAAGATGGAGGGACTGGTGCTAAATTGTGAGAGTCGGAGTGAATAGGGCCTTCAGAGGTGGAAAGAACAGAAAGCTAAGAACACAGTGTAAATACTGACTTTGAGATGGATCACACATGAACCTGACTATTATTAATAGTAATAATAGTTCATTTGAACCAGAGACACGTAGGTAGGATAGGTTTAGGGAAAGGTTGGGACAAACTTGGAAAATAAGCTGTTATTAAAGGGTTTTAACTTTTACAAATGCTTCACTGCCATCCAGTGGCTCAAAACATTCACTACAACTTCCCCGCTGCCTTTAAGGTCTCTTAAAGGGATCGCATGGATTGGCGTCACACTGGCCAAGCAATAAAAGCATTCGCATAAAGGTTGCGAGAACATGCTGCTTGGACAGAAACCTGGCCCATTCCTGCCCACACAAGGCACTGGGCATGTGTGAAAATGTGAAAAAAAAACAGCTCCCATCATTCCATAGCAAGCATACTGAGTATGTAAATATGATGTGTGTATGGGGCTCACATTTCAATGCATGAAATTAATGTACAGACAGCATTTGTATACATAACAGTACATGTTATATATATAAAGGTTTATTGACAGTAAACACTGTTCACTGTCCCACACTTTTGATTTATATTGTACTTGTATGTATATAAAGCACTAACTGAACACTTTTATATAGTAATAATAATAAATTTGATGTTATAGTATTGAAAAATTTTGGGGGAAAGTTTTTCAGTAAGTATTGCTACTATTATTATTATTATTACTACTACTACTGGAGTTGTTGAAACATTTGTGCACTAATTCTGTTATTTTTGTTTATTTTTTAAAGTTATTGCCAACGTTGACCACTAGGTGGGGAGTGTGAGAGATGTTACTGTGATAGACCATTTTTTATTTTTTGTTTAAATAAAGGACTACCTAACCCCAAATTCCCCACAAAGCCTGAAGGTAGGATTTTTTTGGACAGTGAATTGTCAGGGTTGTAGTACATTAGCGGCAGTATTAATTGTGTACAGGACAGTTTAAAATTTTAGCTGTGTATATATATATATTTATAGAGTACAGTAGTGTCACCAGTGCAAACCAGCAAATTTTGAGTCATCTTACTGTACTCATACATGTACTGGCTTTTTTGTTAAACACTAAAACAAAGGGGATGTGGGATATATATATTTTTTTTTTGTATTTTGAGCAGTTACACGGGATCTCTTCTGTAAACTGCACTGGGGAAAAACTGGACTGATAAGTACATATTGTGCCACTAAACACCCAACCAACCGTGTATTCCTGAAAGAGCGGAGGATATTATGGGTCAGCCAAATCAAGCCTGGTGTTCTGTGCCACAAACTGTCGAATTACACCCCTGACGTCACCTCGTTGGTGCTTAGGATAAAGCGTTCTCTGGCTCTCCTTGTGTGTGTATGTAATTACAGTGCTGAATGGAGGCTGGTGATGTCTAGCTTAAAGGTTGGTTTCTGGTTCCAGGTTATGGATGGATTTTGAAAGATTTTCCAATATTTTGCATAAACACTGCAACCAATGAGACTGCAGCAGCCCTGAAGGCCAGAGGAGAAGGTTTTGCTGCATGTGCTTAAAGTAGAGGCCACTGACAGCTTTACAGCTGAGCCATTTGCAGTCACAGGGAAGGGCTTAACAGAATTCATTGTACAGAAATTAACAAAACAATTTTAACAAAAATAAAAGATTTTAAACAATAGACATTGATGAGTGTTCATTGAGGCTTATTTTTTGTGATTGTTGTGAGGCAACAAATACTTTTGTGATAACACTGGACAGTGTGAATATGTTTTTTAAGGAAAAAAAACTAGCATTGATATTGTTCAAATTGAGAACCTAAGTATTTTTACGTCTCATTTCCAGTACGTGCTTTGATGCTCTACTGCGTACGCTTAAGTCAAAAGCATAGACCATGTTCCTTTGCTATGGTTAAGAATTGATTTAGAGCAGGGGAAGGTAATCATATCCTCAAAGGGCCAGTGTTTGTGCAAGTTTTTGGGATAACCTTTAGGACAGCTGTTTAAATCCAGGCCTGAGAACTCTTCAGCTAATCAGTTTTCTAATTAGGGAGTTGCAGTGAAAACCTGCACGCACAATGGCCTTTTCTGGATAAGACTGCCTGCCCCTGATTTTGACGAAAGAAGCTCTTTGCCGTTTAGGCAAACATCGCGCGAGTTCTCCAGCTGGACTACAAATTTAAAGGCGCTCCACCGCGTACTTGTCCCCTTGTCGTTTTCAAAATGGAGGCCGGAGAAATTTGGGTCCCTTAAAGGGATGGTCTACTGACGTTTACACCGCTCCGGAAGCTTGCCTGATTTCGCGCTAGAGCGGCGAAGGGGGCACAGTGTTTTAGTGTTTCGGAGGAAACAGTAGGAGACAGAAAGTATTATATAAACTTAAAACCATAGCTATAATGACGGAGGAAAACATTTTTTTGTTTGTCCCCAATTTGATAGGTGAGTTGATGCGTCTGGCGCTACACATAGATCGCGACCCATTTAAATAGGTTCTTCCAGTATCTACGTCAAGCGGAGAAGCTTGTAGAATGTTAAATGTTTTAGCTTTCTCCTTTAAGTTCCTGCTTTTGGCTATCCAAGCTAGGTTTGTGTGTTTTTTGCGGTGTTAGGCATTACAGGTAGTACGTGTTAAACGACGCGCCAATTAGTGATGTAAACATTGAGTTTCCGTAAATGAATATTCTGGCACTGTGCTGGGAAATGTCATCGTGGTGCTCCGTATCTGCTCCTTCTCCTAGGCTATGCCCGGATCGCGCTAGCCCTACTGGCTTTCTACCTCATGCCATCCTATCCAGTGCCGGCGATGTTCTTCTACCTGCTTAGCGCCTTGCTAGATGCCTTTGATGGCCATGCTGCCAGAGCTCTCAACCAAGGTAGGTGCTGGACTCGGTGCCAGTGTGCTGGCTGGCTATGGTTGTGTACTGTGGCTTGTATTCCACTCCTCCCGCTCTCCCTGGCTTGTGTGTTCCCTTGTGCAGGTACCAAATTCGGGGCCATGCTGGACATGCTGACGGACCGCTGTGCTACAATGTGCCTGCTGGTGAACCTGGCTCTGCTCTATCCCTCGTTCACCTTCCTCTTTCAGCTCAGCATGAGCCTGGATGTCGCCAGTCACTGGCTGCATCTGCACAGGTAGCAGCCCCAAAATACTCCGTAATCGTGCAGTCTGAGACATGTGTTGCTTTTTTCCAGGGTTGGAAACAATCCACCATTCCTCTCTCTGTCGTGTTGTTTTATTTTGTTGTTCCCTTCTGACGATCATCCTCTCACCCTCTTTAGTTCCATCATGAAGGGAGCATCTAGCCACAAGGCCATCGATCTGTCTGGGAACCCTGTTCTGCGGCTGTACTACACCTCTCGGGTAAGAGCGTCAGACACACACACCAAGGGGATGATGATGCTGCTCCCATGCTGACTGACCCCACCCCCCACAGCCGGTGCTGTTCTTCATGTGCATGGGCAATGAACTCTTCTACTGCCTCCTGTACATCCTGCACCTCCTGGAGGAGCCACAGGGTGAGCCAGTCGCCGTCACTCCTGAACCTCTTCATCCTTCCCTCTCTCTCCCTTTTCCTTCTGCCATTCTCCATCCTTTTGTCTTTCCTTATGCCTGTCTCTCTCTCCCTCTCTTTCTACCTTGGTTATTCTCACTCTTTCCTAGTCTCCCCCTTTGTCTTTCCTTCAGTATCTCTGTGTCACTCTCTTTCTCTCCCTCTGCCTCTCTTTCTCCTTCCCTTCTGCCTCTCCCTCTCTCCGTCTCTCCCTCCAATGCCATGTTCCACGGAGTGCTCTTTGTGATGCTGTTCTCCCCCGTCTGGCAGCATGGTTCCTGTGGCTGCTGGGCGTCTGTGGCGTCGTGTCTCTGATGAAGTCTGGGATCAGCCTGCTACACCTGATTACCGCGTCCAGGAACATGGCTGCCATCGACCTTGCAGAGAGAGAGGTGGAAAGAAGAAAGGATAACTGAGAGACAGACAGACTGGCTGGAATGAGATGCATGGTTGGGGGTGCAGTTTGGCAGCACCTGGAAAATAAAAATGGTGGATAGTAAATAATCAAGAAAGGTGAATTGTAAGGCAAATGTAGGGACCTTTTACATAAGGCTGTGAAACATCAACAAAGATATTTGGCTTTTTATGGTTTTTGTTTATAATACAAGAGTCCACGTATTTATGTTAAGTATTATATTGACAGTTTTTATTGGAAAAAATTGTATCTGTTCAAGTCTTATATAAATTATAACGATTAGCTGCGGCGTGCACTTCACAGGAAAGCCGCGTAAACCCACAGACCGGCAACAGTAGTAACGGGAGGCGCAGGGAAAGTTTGGGCGGCGAAATGAAATTGATGGGGCTGATTAAACCGGAAAGCAGGGTTTAGCAGGAAGACGGCCGATAGGGATGATGCAGACGAAGGATAAAAGGTATAACAACATAGAGCAGCTTAGAAGCTTTGAGTCAATTCCACCCGCATTTCACTGATTTATTATTATTTTATTATTAATGAATTTGTAATTGTGATTTTCGTTTGACGTTATGGTCATTTGTAGATCTTTTTAAGACTGAGTACATTCATTCCCTTCATTTTATAAAGAGTAAGGTTACCAATGTGATCTGCCGATTAAGTAATAGAAATAGATTGTTACTAGTTGGTTAGACTTAAAGTCGGGAGTGACCATCCGAGTCTCTTCCCTATACGCTTTATGAATGCACAAAACTTGCTCCGTTATAGAGATTATAGATATTTGCTTCTGTGACAGGAGTGAGCTTTATTTGTTAAGTTATATTTGAGAACGCTGGGTAGAGAAAAATTATATCATTTTCATCTTTTTATTTATTTATTTTTACGTTGGGTGCCTGTCATGAAAATAGAAGAGTACTGTTGAAATTCTGTGAAGTAAAAATGCTGTATCCTGCTCTAATAAAGACGTATTGGTCAGAATTACCGGATCTTAAGCTGTATTAAGTTTGCACGAAGAGGAGACGTAAAGTTCGGGTTGCAAATACACCTGTACTATTCTTATTGAATGCATTTTCTCAGTAATTGTGTATTGATTGAGAAAGACAGGGCTGAAATTAACATTTGCCGTCACATATTTCAGCTGCTGCGCAGGTTAGCATGATTTTTTTTTCCAGCTGCAAAATGGGTTATTATTATTGAGCTGCGGCGGTGTTCCACTTCGACAATTTCCATCGGCCAAATTCGTGACGGGAGGGGGTGGGGGCCGCAGGAAGGTGACGGCAGCGCGCGCGGCGAAGGAGGCCGACGGATGGCGGGGGGGCGAGCGGATTGAATACTTTCCCTTTAAAATAAGGGGGACATCGCGGTGAGGGAGAAACTGAGGGGGGAGAAAAGAAGAGATAAAAAAAGAAAAGAAGGAAAAAGGGAGGGAGGGAGAGAGATAGAGAAAAAAAAAAGAAAGATGACATCTTCTCAATTGAACACCCGAGGCGGAGTGACGGGTTGTGGCCGGAGGGGAGCGCTTTAGCCGGGGCCAAGACTTCACGCAACACCGAGGCTTTAATAAACACCCGCCCGGCCTGGCGGTGATAATATAAAATTGAAATAAAACAAACATTTTTTCTAAAAGAGCATTCTAAGGGAACAGGCTAATTATATTTCGTAACTTTTAAAATCTATTAATATGTATTTTTCACTTAAACAATCGCATTTTTGCATGATTTGAATGAACAACAGCTTATGCCTTGTGTTGGTAGCTAGCTAGCTGAAGTATGACCAGACAGTTAAAATGATGCACTCTTAGGTTTTGGTTGTATTTAATGTTTGCGGGGGTTTCGTGTGGCTCAGCTTACAAAAGTTAAAAACAAAATGTCTTCTACCTAACCAGCCAATATCCATCGCTGGTTATTATTAGGCAGATGACCGAATGGTTAGGTTAGTCAAGTAAAACTAATAATGTGGACTTTCAAAGGAAAATTGTAGGGGGAATATTTTAGTTGATATGAATGAAAGCTGTGACAGTAATATTAGCTAGCAAGCGGCTGCTGACAGAAAACAGCGGTTACGGTAATATTCTGATGAACTGGCGTTTGCTGTTCATTTTACTCAGTTAATTTTAATGCGTTATACTCTTGGACGAAATGGTGTTTTTATTCCGTCGGCAGCTAGAAGTTATGAACCCTTAATAAGGACTGTATTACGAAGACGGACAAACCACGAGTTTGTTTAATGATACTAAATGCAAAAATATTTTTGATAACTATTACTCTGACTACAGTTCAAAATGGATGCGGCTTGGAGTAATTTTTTATTTCAGGTGAGTTGTGGAAAATCGCATGCTGTGCTTTGTTTTCTGTCAGTAAGCGCCGTTGATATGAACGCATGTTGGACTATTGCATGAATATCGCCGACGTCGCGTTTTTTTGAAGAATACAAATATGAGCCTTGTTGTCAAAATAAAATCTCACATGCACTGTTGCATTTTTCTGGAGTTCGGTTATGTCTAAATGACATGTTCAAATGGACAGATTACTAACAAAATGATCATAAGTTGAGACCCGTATGGTTAAAATAAAAACACAACGTGTAGTAAGTGTGCATGTAGAAACAGCAGAGGTCCCAGGGTTCTGAGTTTTGCAGAGTTTTTTAAGTGATTCTTTTGGCCTTTTTAAGACACCACCTACCCAAACCCAAGCAGAGACAACTCTCCAATCAGATCTCCTCCCAGAACTTACGGGATCAGTGCAGAACCCGCCTACTGAACACATAGCCACACCCCCCTCGACGGTGGACACCGCTGCTCTAAATGAGGAACCTTTACCTGGTGAGAAGGGGTGAAGAGGAGAGCCTCCAGGTGCCTGCTCTGCTAATTTGAGCTCTGTGGCTGGAGCTGACTGCCCCCTTCTTCCTCCCCCTCTCTCTCTCTCTCTCTCTCACTCAGTGAAACCCGTGTCTCGTCCCTCACGTGCCGCTCACATCTGCCCGCTCTGTAACAAACAGTTCAAGAATAGCTACAACCTCCGTCGGCACCAGTCAGTCCACACAGGCATCCGAATGAAGGATCGAGTGATGAGGGACGACAGTGTGAAGGGGCTGCAAGCTGGAGCAGGGAGGACCACTGTCCCTCTTTCCCTGCTGCACCTCTCTGTTCCCCATCCCACTCCTGAGTCTGTCCCTCACCAGCCAATTCTTGGCACCCAGGATGTACAACCCATTTCCGTATCTATCACCACAGCAGCAGTCACCATGGCTGCATCTGTTCCTCCGTCAGCTGTCGTGGTTACTGGGGCAATGGGGCAGGTTGGTTTATGAGTATATGTGTGCAGCAGTGCCACAGGCTGTTGTGAAATTGTGCTAATTGGCAGGTTTTGGGTTTGTACTGTATGTGCATAGAATTGATCTCCATGTAGGGGATGTTTTGACATGCATGTCAGACATTAAACGTTGATCATGACCATTTTGTTAACTTATAATGAGAAAAGCCCGCCATTGAAAAATGGTGGGATCATTGCGTGCTATCAGCACCGAAAGTCATTTAAGCAGCCCAGTGTTTGGATCCTGCACATTATCAGAGCAGGTGCTGATACCTGTAGGGGACGCCCTTAGAGCACTGGAGAGAACAGTAACCATAACCATGCCTCACTTCACAGCGTCAGCCAAACCCAAATACGAGCGCAACCCCTGTACGCAAGAACCACGCCTGCGAAGCCTGTGGAAAGGCCTTTCGGGACGTGTACCACCTGAATCGGCACCGGCTGTCCCATTCGGACGAAAAGCCCTACTCCTGCCCCATCTGCCAGCAGCGCTTTAAGCGGAAAGACCGCATGAGTTACCATGTGCGCTCACACCAGGGTGGTGTTGAGAAGCCCTACGTGTGCCCCCACTGCGCCAAAGGCTTCTCACGGTACAGTAAGGCTGTCCAGGCGTGTGCTTGACATGTTAAGCCACCCCCGGGACCTTGGACCCTGCTTTGTCTAACTAGCTGCTTCTGTTGTCTCAGGCCGGACCACCTCAACAGCCATGTCAGACAAGTCCACTCCACCGAGAGACCATTTAAGTGTGAGGTAACCACTCCTCTCTCTATACTGCTCGATTACCCTCTGGTCCTTGACCTGTGTTTGTAAATGAGCCACTTGTCCATGTTTCACCGCATGTGCTCTCTGGTTGCGCTGGGCGTGGCGTGCAGACGTGCGAGTCTGCCTTCGCCACACGGGACCGCCTGCGCGCTCACATGATCCGGCATGAAGAGAAGGTGCCATGTCACATCTGCGGGAAGCTGCTGTCTGCTGCCTACATTACCGATCACATGCGAGTGCACGACCAGTCGCAGCACCACTCCTGCCACCTCTGTAACCGCAGTAAGTTTGCCTTTGTTTTCTGTATCCAAGTAGACATACATAAGAACATAAGAAATTTACAAACGAGAGGAGGCCATTCGGCCTATCAAGCTTGTTTGGGGAGAACTTAAATAATATCTCTGAATTGTTAAAATCATATCTAGCTCTGATTTAAAGGACCCCAGGGTTTTAGCTTGCACTACACTAACAGGAAGACTATTCCATACTCAAACTACACGCTGTGTAAAGAAGTGCTTTCTCAAATTCATTTTAATGTTCTCCCGCTAATTTCCACTTATGGCCACGAGTTCTAGTATTTGAACTAATATTGAAGTAGCCATTTGGCTAAACAGCATCCAGACCTGTTAGAATCTTATACACCTGGATCATGTCCCCCCTTAGTCTCCTTTGCTCGAGGCTAAATAGATTCAGTTCAGCTAACCTCTCCTCATAAGACCAGGAATCATTCTTGTAGCCCTACGTTGCACTCTTTCCAAGGTAGCGTGACCAAACCTGCACACAATATTCTAGGTGTGGTCTTACCAAGGAATTCTATAATCATAGAGTCACTTCCCTTGACACCTAGAGATGTAACCCAACATCCTATTGGCCTTTTTTATTGCCCCACACTAGCGAGAGTGGGACATGGAAGCATCAACATACACACCAAGGTCTTTCTCATAATCACTAATCAGCTACCTTTATTTCAGTGGAACCCATAAAATATCTGTACTTAGACGGATGGAGACCATCTGTGCTGCATGTGTCTGATTTCAACTGAGGTTCAAGTACAAGGAATGAGTCCTTGAATGTAGCCATTACATTAAACCACTGTTAAAATCACTTCAGAATGTGTTCCGCTGCTGATTAATAGGATCATTAGCTCTGTTATACGTGGGGCAGCACGTGGCTCAGTGGGCTAAGCCTGTGTGTCTGTGATTAGAAGGTCACCAGTTTGAACCCAGCTTTGGCATGTCTGCAGGTCCTTGAGCAAGATCCTTAACCTCCAGCTACCTGGCCACTGCAACAGGTGGCTACAAAGAGCAAGTTCTATAAAATATCAATAGAATTTCAATAAAGTATCAATTATTATTATTTATTGAAGCCCTGTTTGAATGTATATGTCAATCTCAAACGCAGACTGATTGTGTGTTCTGGGTTCCATTGGCAAGGCCTGCTTCACTCATTTTATTTCTTGGCATGGACCTTGACCATGTGCACAGTCTGCAAGTGTCTCTGGTAACTCCTATTGTTTTCTCTGGGACCAGGTTTCACCACCTTGACGTACCTGCGTGTCCACGCTCAGAAGCACCACGGCCAGGAGTGGAAGGAAAGCGAGGGCCAGAGGGGCGGTTTTGGGGGTACCGGCCCCGGGGGGGTTCTCCTGTGCCAGTTGTGCGGGGTGCAGTGCAAGACCCCCACGCAGCTGCAGGGTCACATGGGCACACACCGCACAGCCCAGAGCGACCCACAAGCTGCCACCAGTCCTGTGCCACCCACCACCTCGGCCCCCAGCAGCACCGTGTCCCTCAGCGCATGCGGGAGCACAGGTGCAGTGGGACTTCTGGTTTCGGACTGCTCTGGGATTGCTCCCCAGCCTCACAGCTAGCGGGGCTGGGGGGGTGGAACAAGATGACAGAGAGAAACAGGAGGGTGAAGCCAATCACTCGCTAGGAAAAAGATCCGGGCAGAGGTGTGTACACACTCACAGGTGAAGCACTGGCTGTTGCTGCACACGCATGGCGTGTTTTTGAGATGAGCGGTGTTCTTCATTCTGCACTCTCACCATTCTCTGTAGGCTCAGATAATAATAATAATAGATACTTTATTGATCCCCTTGGGGAAATTATCTTTACACCTCCCTCAACTTGCTCTTTTTTGTAAAGTAAGTTGTGTGTGAAGGGCAGCCTCCCATAGCAGCGCCCAGGGAGCTGGGGGTTAAGAGTCTTACTCAAGGACCTGCAGACGTGCTGAGGCTGGGTTTGAACTGGCAACCTTCTGATCACAGGCACACAGGCTTAGCCCACTGAGCCACACACTGCCCCCATATTCTGTTAGGATGTTAAACCACACAACATGAGAGTCCTTCTCCTTTATTGTTACTGCCTTGTTTTTTCACTTTTGGATCCAGACTCAGCCAGATAGCGTAGCATAGCAAAGCAGACCTCGCTGGTCCGTCCATGAGCCTGCCAATGCGATGACGTCACTGGAGCCAGGTGGAGGTAGTGACAATTGAGATGGAGCTGTCCTGGATGGTACGGACTCAATCCTACATTTGGACCAAAACTGCTCTCTCGGGAAGGCTTAGCAAATATTTATTCTCTCTAATAAATATTTGATAGGTAACTTATGTCAGCTACTCTGGTCTACTCACAAACAAAGCAAAAATGATCACTTCAAATAATAGAGAAATCGAAGTTGCATTAGGATGACTTCTTATTGAAAGGGACTGCTTCCCCTGGAGAGGTACCAGTTGATAACTAGGTAGGGCTTTGTCAAACACAGTGTAACTGACTTTTTAATATATATACCTGTATATATTTTAATGTAGCGTCTGGATTTTTTTTTAATGTCTTGTACTTCGTCACTGACTGGTTGAGGGTTGCTCCCAGCTATGATGGTAACGGTCTACTGGGAGAAGAAGAATAAACAAATAGATATTAAAATACATTTAAATACAGTACATGATACCAGAAAGCCCTCACTTCATGTTTCAGTCATTAACAGTGGCAAAAGACAGAAGTGAAATGGGAGTCTGGGAGTGAATTTGATCAAATCTGTATTCAATGTAATCTGTCCACCTCTGTTGAAATACTTTAATGGGTTGCTGACTGGTACTGTGCAGTACTATTTAACCCTGAGCTACTCTACACTATTATCAGTAAATTGAAAATACGGAGGACCTGCATAAATTTACCACGTCTGTATGTACATACAGATTTAAGCTATTGTCAGTTGCCTTCTACAGTCATTGTTATTATTGATGTTAATTTGTTAGCCTTAAGTTAAAATGAACAGAAAAGTTATATTGTGAACGTGTGTCAGGATGTGTGACATTGGTTCATCTGTACCTGTTAACGCTTGTTTAATGCCACTCCAGTGTTTGTGTTGCTATAATATTATGTATTAATCCCTGTATATATGAACGCTGCATCAATAATAATAACATTTACACTGGGTTAGGTGTCTGGCTGCATCCTTGCACATAATCACGATAACGGATAACCAATCAAGGTTGCACTTTCGTTGACTGCCTTGTTCTGCGCCCAGTGAACCACACAGCATCACGGCGGAGTGTTACCGGGTGAAACGCTTTATGCAGGGCCAAAATATTTAATGTATTATTGCATTTCCCAGATGTGCCGCCCCTTCATCCAAAAGGCAAAATAACGCAGTAATCCGTTTCTAGACACTTCTGCGATACACGGAACCCTGCCAATTTGCCTCCATTGTTTATATCGGAGGAACCCCTCCCCCACCGCTGTTCTTTAATCTTTCGCTTTTTTTCCTCCATCCCCCCAACTTCTCCTCCCACCATCACTCTCCCTCATATGCTGTCGGCCACTCTTGCACACAGCTGATTTTGAGGGAGTCGGGGAGATGAGTGTGATGAAATGAAACACTAGTCGCGGATCGCCTGAACGAACTGCTGCTGGAGTGGGGCTGTCTGTAGGTGCGCCTGTACCCCGCCGCAGTACGGACGCCTCGCATTTGCAATTTACTGCAGTTTCGTGTCGTTTTTATAGGTATTCAGGTAGAAGCGGCTCGACGTTTTCTACTGTAAAAAGTAGGTCATTGGAACCGTAACTTGCTATCCAGAGGATGTCTGCTTACAGAGCAGGATAAGATATTTCTAAAATAACTAAGGGCACTTAGCGGTACCCGGGTCATCTGCTGCGGGTAAATAGTATTTCTATAAGGGTCTTGCTTTGACTGGAACAACGCGAAACTTGCTCGAGGCTAGTGCTAGATGCTAACAATGCGATAATCACTTTAAATATCAGACTAAACTGTCAGTTTCGAACGTCCGTTAGCTTTTGACAATGGCGTGACTGGCTTGTAAAAAAACCGACATGGATACTCTGAAGCATTTCTTCAGCCGCACCGTCCGCAGATGAGTGTGCTGTGCCGGGCGTTAGCTAGCGGCCATGGCACCGGCTAGCTAGCTGGCTCCGTGGAGCCCGATTCAGGCCGGCCGGCTGCCCGTGCGGCGCCGCAGACACAGACTGTGCCTTTCGGGGAGTGTCTCAGCGTGATACGCCGTGTGGCGACTTTTAAAGGACCGTGGATGTGCCATTCGGCTAACTCGCAAGGCTAACTAGCGTTAGCAGTGATGGGCCATTGTTTACATCCGCTGCTTTAGGCTGAGCGGCCAAGCCGCAGCAGACGGCCGTCTTGCAGAAAGGATCGACGAGCCCCTGCATCGTTTTATCGCTTGTAATGTACAAAACGTCGGCGTGATTTAATCACTGGCTATTTAAAATGGCGTTTCACGGTACCAGCCGCCAGTCTGTGTGCGGCAACTTGTTTCCGGGGGCTGATTTAGGCCACAAATACTTCTGCGTCAACTCTTCGACCGGCACTACCTCGGCGGGCCTCGGCGCCACCCCGAGCTCGAGTGGGCCAGCTGCGCCAGCCGGAACCCCTCGCCACCCGGCTGCGCTAGGGGGAGGTACGGGGGGAGGAGCCGCTGTTCCACAGCCCCATAGCAACACCGCTAGCGAGGTGCCGAGCCCCGCTGAAATGGAGCCAGACCGACCTATTGGATATGGAGCTTTTGGTGTGGTTTGGTGAGTAAATTGAGTATCCAAATAAATTTAAATGTCTACATGCAAATAGGTTCTCCATCTGACCTCTGACTCATTCGTGCAAGCGTGTTTTGCATGATCTTATCTTATATGTGCCCCAGGATTTAGGAACACTGCAATATTACTGTGAACACTTCTTGCCCCAGGTCAGTGACAGACCCCCGAGATGGGAGGAGAGTGGCTCTGAAGAAGATGCCTAACGTCTTCCAGAACCTGGTGTCTTGCAAGAGGGTCTTCAGGGAGCTAAGGATGCTCTGCTTCTTCAAACATGATAATGTGAGAATTTGGGCTCTGTGCCCTGTACAGAAATGGGGTAAAGAATACAGAGAAATGGAGAACAGCATACTGTAATGTGCTGTGTTCCTGTGTATCCATGTAGCTAGACTGTATACAGCTTAAGAGCTGTGTGTGCAGCCAAGTAAGAGTGAAGATATGACTGTGCTGTTTCTGCAGGTTCTGTCAGCCCTTGATATTCTTCAGCCTCCCCAGATTGACTGCTTTGAGGAAATGTATCCTTTTGCTGAGAAGTCCTCTCCCATGTTTACCTGCCTTTCTGACTGTCCTTTTACTTGCAGTTTTATGTTGGGTATACTTTTCTCCCTGCTATCGCTCTTGACAGTCTCCCCACCATGGCCTCTTGGGTCATATTTTGTATGCAGTGGCAGTGTGTTTCCTTCACCTAGACCTCGCAGCTATGTCATTACGGAGCTGATGCAGAGTGACCTCCATAAGGTCATTGTGTCCCCACAGCCGCTCACCACAGACCATGTGAAAGTTTTCCTTTACCAGATACTCAGAGGTGAGGCAATATACAAAGCCTTTGAGGATTTATCAGATCCACTTGGTTATTTGGGAGATAATTGAGTGCAGATTTAAATGTGTCAAGTCTTCTTTATTTCCATGAAAGTGACATTTGTGGGTTTTTAATCAGGTTGAACTTGGAGCATCAGTTTTGGGTTTATGAGCCAGTCTCTGGTTTGGGGTTAAAAATAAACCAGAAATAGGTCACTGCTATATTATACAATAGAATTCTTCATCTGTCAGAATAATTGCCTGACCTTCTCAGACATTAAGATTGAAGTCCTGTTCAGAACTCCATTTTAAGCTGAACCGTGCTTCAAATGTTTAGAGCTACAGAGAATCCATTATCCTTCTGCTGCAGTGTTGTGTGTGAATCATTGTTTATTAGTGATGTTGAGTAGTTTCTGAAAATAAGTGCATCTTGTGATCATTTAATATGGTTCTTGGTGACGTACGGAAATCAAAGGATGTAAAGCATACTACTGGATTCCGTAACCTTGTATGTGAAATCAATTGAGGCCACATCCTGTATACGATGCAAGTGACGTGACATTAATGGTGATGCTACCTTGGTCCCCAGGGCTCAAGTACCTGCACTCTGCTGGAATCCTGCACAGAGACATTAAACCTGGGAACCTTCTGGTCAACAGCAACTGTCTTCTAAAGGTACTGTTCTCGGCATGCCTCTGCTATTGTCCTGCCAACACACCCTAAAACTTAATTTTGAAAGTGTGGGAAAACACTCTCCTGTCACTTAGCTGCTCCATTCTAGATGCTATAATGGGGTCCTCGTTTCACGCAGTCATCCTACTGACTGACATACAGTGGTAACTATAGATTTATATTGAGTGTAAACTCAATGTCACGTCAACCTCACTGTAAATCACATTCCTGTTTTGTAGTCAAATGTTATTTCCCAAATCATCCTGTGGTCTCAGATATGTGATTTTGGACTGGCCCGGGTGGAAGAGCCGGACCCATCTCGTCACATGACCCAGGAGGTGGTGACACAGTACTACCGGGCCCCAGAGGTTCTTATGGGCAGCCGGCACTACAGCGCGGCCATCGACGTCTGGTCTGTGGGTTGCATTTTCGCTGAGTTGCTGGGACGGCGTATCCTGTTTCAGGCCCAGACCCCCATCCAGCAGGTACTTCACAGGTTGGGCTGGGGTGTGGGTGGGTCCCTTTGTGTCTAACACAATAATTTAGTAAACAAAAATATGGTGAGTGTGCCAATGGTGACACCCCTTTAGTGTATGACATGCCACGTGCAGCACTTTACGTTCCTGCTGAGTCCTCATGATGCCAAACACCCCCCCCCCCACCTTAGCTGGACCTCATCACAGATCTTCTGGGCACACCCCCTTTGTCAGCCATGGCGTCTGCCTGCGAGGGGGCACGGGCACATATCCTGAGGGGCCCCCAGAAGCCGGTGAGTGACACACACACACCCAAAGCCCCATGGCTCTGCCTACTTTGGATTGCTATGGATACTCAGTTGGGACAGGCTCTTTGCCTGATGTAGATGTGATCCTTTGTTCTTAAGATTGAAGACCTTTCACTGGCTTGTGCAGAAAGCATGTTAGAAAGCTTATTTACTTAGATGCACCCCAGAAAAAAAGTTAATAGGCAAGAAGTGTAGTAGTGAAGAATGGTGAAACTGGTCTGACACGTACTGCCCCCCCCCCAGCCTTCTCTGTCAGTCTTGTACATGCTGTCCGATGGTGCTACCCACGAGGCCGTTCACCTGCTGTGCCGAATGCTGGTCTTTGATCCTGTGAGTAATAAATTAGCTGGATTTAAATGCTTTTGTGAGGGGGGGTTGTTTATCAGCTCTGCTCCTTTGCACTCTTCTTTCTTTAAATCTGTCTGCATGCTCCGCAGGTCCAAATTGTGTTAGTCCTGGTTCTGACTGCTTATTGTACCATCCACCAGGCCAAGCGAATCTCCGGCAGTGACGCCCTATCGCACCCCTACCTGGATGAGGGCCGACTGCGCTACCACACCTGCATGTGCCAGTGCTGCTACTCAGTACCTAGTGGGCGGGTCTACACGCGTGACTTTGAGCCGTCAGCTGAGCGGCCCTTCAGCCACAGCTATGAACAGAGCCTGCTCTCCGTGTGGCAGGGAAAAGGTGCGTGGGCCGTGCTACTGTCTGAACCATAGGGCCACAGCCTTCCTGACACTTGTATGTCTCCCTTCCTCCTCAGAGCTCATCCACCGCTTCATCACTGAGCACCAGCAGGGCAAACGTGTCCCCCTGTGCATCAACCCCCAAAGCGCCGCCTTCAAGACCTTCATCAGGTAAGGAGGGGGCAACACCTGTCTCCACAGCAGCATCCAAACTATAAATGCTCCCTGTCCATTGTCACTGTTCTGTCAGTGTCCATATTGCCATACAATATCCATGGTACATTATCATCCATGACGTCTCTGGCCATGGTGAAACCCTTCTCCTGTTGGTAGGTTGGGGGGAGTAACGCTCTGTCCTTTTTCAGGTCCACAGCTTGGCATTCCTCCAAAGTATCCAGGAAAGAGGAGAGATGAAGGGGGCAGTGAGGGAGCAGAGG